CATGTGCAAAATTGAAAAGATGCCACATATATTCTTAGTTATAGTATATTATGACCCTGTAAGGGTATTGAAAAATTAAATTGGTAAACTTATATAATAATAAAAATGTATTCATAATTTTCTTACAAATGTTTAATATATAAGAGCTAGTTCACACATGGAGGAATCCGTGCGGATATAAACCGCGCGGTTTGGAATTTGGATGCATGGGTCGCGCGTAGTAGCATAAAATGTTCTTTGATCATGCTATTGTAATAAGCTCCGCACGGATTCTATTTGAACTAAGGCTAGTGGTGTTTTTAGTATAATAAATCGTCCAAGCACGAGGTGGACTCGCACATAGTGGGTCCCGTACAACATTCGGTCATCGCAGCCGAACGCGCTAACCACTTGCGCTATCCTTCTCAAACAAAACTTAGTCGTGAAAAACTCGTCAAAAATCAAATTAACTTATTGAATGCTTTTTGAATCGTCCAATACTACCACAGATTATAATTTTCTTCTCTTATAATTTTCAAGGAAGTTTATATTCTGGGAAACTTTCAGCTTAACTTTTACCTTAAAGTTATGAGATAACAGATATGCTGTTCATGGGTGAAATTAGGTTAAATTTTTCTTAGGAGGGCAGAGAGGAGCGTATTTACTGCGATTGTCTGAGGCTTGTTTTCATAAACCCACGACTTCAAATAGCCCTAAAGAAAGAAGTGCGGGGTGGTTAAATCAGGCGATCTTGCTGGTCATGCGAAATCACCAAAATAAAATCGTGCTGTGTTTGCGGTTGCACCAAAGATTTGGGCTGCGCCGTTTTATTGAAACCCCACATGTTCACGCTTCTGCCGAATATCGTGCTCCATTGCTTCTCTGTTTGTATTCTACATTTGTCTAGTTCACAAATATCAAAACGTCAGTCATGACGTACGACCCCATTTGCAATAATTATAACATCTGATAAAGTGATAACTTTTGCGCCATCCTATATAAATTAATTAAAACACGATATCTGTGTGTCTTGAAGATTTTATAGTCGCCGTAGACACCGGCTCCGTGTGTTTTTCCGTGTTGTATAATATTCTAAGAAATGAAAACATGCTTTTTATTAAAAAAGAATATGCTATTTGTAGTTTTATTACACTTATACCTACTTAAATTAAATGTAGTCCTCTATTTTGAAAAAGAAATTAGACGGGAAACTGCCAAGAATAATTCTTGGCCATTAGCGAGTTCCAAGCTTGTAAAAATGTGGGTGGTCGTGTCGGCATATTTCTTTGCCGATTTTCTTTCTTTCATTACTACAAAATATATTCGAAAGCCGGTTGAGCTTGTTAAGAACACGATATGTACGTTTGTACAAACCCCAAACCGTCGGCATCGCTTAAGCCGTTGTCTTTAACAAACCTAAACCAAACTTCGTGTTATGTATTGTTATTTTTATTTTATTTTGTTTTATATTTTGCTGGCACATTACTCCTCTATCTCTGTTAAACTATCCTTTGACTTAAAGATTGTCTGGAAGAGGTCGCTTTCAGCGATAAGACCGCCTTTACCCACCATAGTTTACTATCTGTATTTTAAGCCCTTTAATTATATGTGTGAGTAATAAGAGTACATCTATCTATCTTCATAGTGACATGTCTAACTGACGACCGAACGTACACGCGGTTTAAAACCGTGCCTGGCCCCGGCGAAAAACCGGTAGTTAACAAGCACCCTGAGTACGCTTGTTAACGAGGCAGTTTGTCCAGACATCGAATCGTCTCTAGCGCCGGTGTCTCCCAACCGTCATAGTGTCCCTTACCTAACGACAACCTCTGCGGCCGAGTGGTTTGTACGCCGTGTTTCAAGGTGTCGCCTACTCGAGAGGTCCCGGGTTGTGTGATGGATGTTTAATACGTATTTCTGTACAAATATTTATCAGTAAATTATAGAAACTGCAGCGGAGATAGTTATATTTTCTTTAGATTTAAACATCAAGCAATTACATGTTTTAAAATAATAAAAATTATAACTATAATTGCTATTTCTTCTTTCAAATGTTTAATACTTGTAAAAGTATTCATTTGACATTGTGGGTTACCTATAATGCGAAGAGATGGCGCTGCCTTGCAGCTTAAGAATGGCTAGAGGAATTTCGACGCGGCCGCGGTAGCATAATTGGTCAGTGCATTCGCCCGGATTGCGAAGGGTGCGAGTCCCGTCTGCTGCCTGGTCCGCGTGGACTTTTTTCTAGTTATGTTTTCTTTAGATTTAAGAATAAAATAATTACAATAAAATTATATTAGCCTAATCTACCTAGTGACCCGATCGAAGTTTGATACAAAAGTGACGCCGCGACGACCTCCGTCGCTTCACGCCCGGCGATGCTCCACGTGCCGCTGCATCAGCAGTTTAGATCAATTGTGCAATTTTGCGGTCATTCCGTACTAACAATAGTACCGTGTGCAATGTTGTCTTGTGTCAGCAGATTCGGTGGAGTATGTGTACGTAACAATTATATATGTGTTCTATCCGTTACCCTAGTATCCCATAACACAAGCCTACAGTGCTTCCTTTGGGGCTAGGCTAATTGGTGTGAGTGTTGGAAATATTTATTTATTTACAGTAGAACGCCGATTGTCCGAATAAATTGGCACCGGCGTCGATTCGGATAATCGGACATAGACTGGTAATAAAGAAAAACCAACTGTCACACATAGAGTAAACCTTATTAAGTTTAACAAACACAGTTCTACAATACTTAATACAATAATAGAGGTACATAGTAGCAAAAAAACCGAGCGATGCAAAACATGTAGTGTCTTGCCTCTAGCTTTCAGCCATAACAGTTGGAATATATCTGGACTCCAATCAAAAAGTAACAAGTTGGAACAAGAGTTCCAACTTGTTACAACAAAAGAAAATAAAAAGGCTTGGTTTTAATTTTTTATATTACGCTTAGGACCGATTTGGTTAATTGGCGTGCGGATAATTGGCGTTCTACTGTATTATTATTTATTTATAACTGACTACCAGACGTAGACACGGTTTGAAACCGTGCCTAAACCCGGCGGAAAGCCCTTTCGTTAACAAGCGGCCTAAAACCATACATGTAGGACATTTATACAAATTGCATAAAAGGCTTATCCTTCCTTAGGAAAATCGTTTCGAATTGCCAGACACATTGACGCATGGTCGGGCGGGTTATAGAACGAAGGGCGCAAAACTCCTAAATCATATATAAGCTTTATCCAGTTAAGCACATCACTTCATCCTTGTTAACTATTCAAATTCACAAGTGATGAAATACAATATATGAGGAGCTCGATGAAGTTAAGCAACTTTCGCAGTGGTCGGTCATTGGATGGGTGACCAAAAATTTACTGTCTCGAGCCCTTCCGTGCGTCGGAAGGCTCGATAAGCCGTTGGTCCCGGTTGCATCTGCAGTCGTTAGCACCCACCAATCCGCACTGGGCCTGCGTGGTGGGTCACGGCCCAATCTCCCTATTCCATCCGTAGGAAAGGTCTGTGTCCCAGCAGTGGGGACATTAATAGGCTGATGATGATGATGAAATAAGTTTAATAGGGACACGATTTTGGTTTGGAATTACAACACGATTTTAAATCAGATTTAAGCTTTATCCAGTTAAGCACCTTGCTTCATTCTTGTCAACTATTCGTATTAACAAGAGATGGAATGATTTTTTATTTAGGAACATGATTTTGTTCTGAATGTTATTTGTAAACGGTAGTGATTAAATACATTTTCTTTGTCAAAAACTTTGGTGCAAATGGACCTGAAGTTTTTTCTGTAATTTTCTCTTTATGACGACCTCTACGTGTGGATACGCCGGGTTTCATGGTGTCGCCTACTCGAGAGATCCCGGGTTCGAATCCCGATGGGGGCAGATGTTTGTGAGATGAATACAAGCATTTGTACTCCAGTCATCGATGTTCAATACGAGAGGTCCCCCTCTCGTATCATTTAACACAAGCTTACAATGCTTACTTTGGGGCTGGGCTTATTAATTGGTGTTGATAATATTTATTTATTTATATCTGTATCCGCGGTTTTAATGTGGTATATATTCTTATATTTACAATCTGCTTGATTATTTTGCGGGTGCTGAAAGTTTGTATGTATAATACCAGCCTGAGAGCAAAAACATCGTAATGGATCGAGGGTGAGTCACCAGTATACAAAAAAATATTCTGAAATCATAAACCCTAAGCTCCTCCTAAAAAAAACTTAATCCCTATTTTTTCCGTAATTTAATCAACATACGTTTTCTTTTACTGGAATCAATGTTATTATGTTATTTTTACTGTTTCTAACGCTTTGTGCAATCTAAGTCAAATCTAAATTTCATTATTATAATCGGGGGGGGGGTGATAAATTTTTTATTTTGTAAATTGTATATTATTTCAGTTCTTAGTTAGTTCTAGTTTTTACGTTTTTAGACATAAGGTAGTTTTAAGCTTTTGTAATTGTAAACTTATTGACATTAAATTATACTATTAGAGCTTATAGTCGTTTCCAGAATTCAATAAATATAATACACTTATTTTTTAATCGTTGGTAGTAAGACAATAAACAGACTATTTATAGAATGTAAACCTTATTAGCCAAGGATCAAGCGATGCGATACAATAATTAATGTAAAAAATACCCTTAAATAGCTTTAGCTTCACTTTCGCGTATTTATTATTTATGTACTGTCAAAAATCAGTGACAAGAAAATATTTTTTAATTATTCACATCTTAATATGTTGATTTTATGTTAAAAATAAAGTATATTAATATTTTTGATTAATTACTTTTTGAAAAGTTGAAATCCATAGATGATTATAAAAACCATCTATTATACTTGTAACACCGAACCGATGATTAATCTTTATCCTCGTTATGTAATAAATACTGAATTAATCAAATCGGTATACTTACGAACACAACCCATGGCAGACCAAAAACAAGTTGCACCCAAATACCACACTGTATTCCACAAAACTAACACAACACGAAGCCAATGATTAGAAGAGATCTCTATTTTATAGTTACACTCCAAGGCACACACGAATACACGAGTAAAAATCTCATTGGCTTCTATGAAAAACACTCATCGAAATTCAAAATTTATACTAAATATAACACGGTCTAATCGGGCGGGGTTTTTCATAAAGGAAACTGTATTTTTTTACAAAATGATTAATCGAAAACCGCGTAGCAACCACCGCTCGCTGCGTGCTACGGCTACGGACTGACGTAGCAGAAATTGGAGGGAAAAAGCTTTTGCGCACGTAGTAGGGCTACGGAACTCTACCTACAAGCAAAATTAAACTCTCTCAGCAAGATGGAAAGCATATTTTGGTGTATCGTACACACTTCAATGGAACTGAGGTTACGATGTAAATTGAAAGTTACGCGTTATAAAACTGGGCCCTGTAAAATAATGGTGCCTTTTTGAATTGAAATGAGGAAAACTCATTATTTTGATAAACTTATTACTTAAAGTACGGAATGGGGATAATAAATCGTTGTAGGTATAGCAAGTAATTATCATATTCATAATCATCTGTATTTGCAGAATATGGTAACAAATGGTGGTACAGAGATAATGAGCATCCTATATTTTTACCCAATGGGGTGTGCAAATTAATTGTAAAATAAATAAAAAAACTTATTACAATTATATTATATATTATAATTATAATTAATAATAATGAATGGGTCATTAATCATAATATAAAACTATATCAAATTCACATCATCATTTTCAAACAATATAATAGATTATTTGAATCTTATTAATTACTAGTGACCCGCCCTCGCTTCGCTTCGGTGTAGAGCTGTAGTGTAAACTATAGTTTTTGTTCTCAGGCTTGTGCTATAAAGAATGACTTTATTTATATAATTACACGTGTTATTGTGAGTCAACCATAAAAGATAGACATATGCTGTTGCCGGATATTTTTTAGACAATTTTATGTAGAATATTTCCGTCATACATGATTTCTATGTAACTTTAACCATTAAGGCTGCACACGCGACGGAAGCTAAAAAAATGGAGTAACTTCTCCCGTTTTTCCAACATTTCCCTTCACTACTCTGCTGCTATTGATTGTAGCGTGATGAAAAGTATACTATAACCTGCCCAGGAGTATGAAGAATAATTGTACCAAGTTTCGTTAAAATCCGTTGAGTAGTTTTTGTTTCTATAAGGAACATACACACAGACAGACAGACAGACAGACAGACAAAAATTTTACTGATTGCATTTTTGGCATCAGTATCGATCACTAATCACCCCCTGATAGTTATTTTAAAAATATATTTCATGTACAGAATTGACATCTCTACATATTTATTATAGTATAGATAGATAGAAGATAGATAGATAAACATAAATAATAATTTAAATTACAACATCACTTAAATATTCCTTTAATGTATAATAAGCTTTATTTACTAAAAACTTTTTAAGGTCACTTTATATTTAACCACATTATCGATTTGTCGTTTATCTTTTGGTAGCTTGTTATATATTATCGGAGCAATGCCATATAAACTATTTCCAAACAAAGCTATTTTATGTGGTATTTGACACAACTTATCATTGTGTCTTTTAGATGTAAAAACATTATAAAATAATTTTAATTCATTTTAACAGTTTTATTTCAGGAGTTATCACAATTACTGTGATAACTCCAAAACCGTTGAATAGATTAAAGTCTATTTTGGTATATAGAAGGCATTTTGAGTAATATATTTTTAAAGTTCACATTACTCAAATTACATTTTTGAAATAACGACTAAATCAAACCTTTTTCTCTGTTAAATAATAAGTAGTTTGTATTTTTGTTATTTAATCACCCAAAACTATATATTACTATTGGCTGATAATTGGCACGCATATAGTTTATGGCCTGGATTAAGACATACAATACTTTTTATCTCGCAAAAAAAATAGGTTCGTGATTGGGCTCATAAGAACTATCGCAATTAATAAATGCAAACAAAACGGTATAATTACACATATGGTTTTGACCATCTAATATTTTATGTTTACAGCCCGGAGGTTTTGAGCCAGCTGAATTTGAATTTCAACTTATGTCAATCAAAACCGCCTAAAATAATATTAAAATTACTAAATAAAAAATCACGCCGAAAGCTCACTGTAGATATGTCATTCAGTTTTTTACTGCTCCTGTAAAATTTAATTTGATGTAATTAAACCGTTTTGTTCGCCAGCTCCTCAAATGATAATCGAAGTCTTAACTTAAACATATCAATTTATTTAGAATTTTCCATTGAGTTCATTCATAGAGGGAGTACAAAAATACTGTACTGATTGATAGTTTTACTTTAAATTATAATGTTGACTGATTCGATTGATATTGTATTATAATGAGGTGGTAATTTAATTTAGTGTTTAATCTATTGCAATTAGTAGATAGTGGCAGAGGCATTTGTCCCATCATTATCATCAACCCATGCTCGTCCACTGCTGGACATAGGTCTCCCTTAATGCACGCTACTTTTCCCGATTTTCTGCCACTCTCATCCAGCCCGCTCCAGCCAGCCTACGAATGTCATCATCCCATCTTGTCTCAGGGCGTCCTACACTACGTTTACCGAGTCGTGGTCTCCACCCAAGAACTTTCCGGCCCCAACGGCCATCAGTTCTGCGGCTAATGCGGCTAATGTCACATTTGTCCCAGCGTCGACGATAAACGAGAAGCGAGTAAAGCTAGAAACTAATTGACGATCAACGGGGAGAGAGGGTGTAGTACAGTTTTATCGCCGGGCTATAAGCGAGTGTGGTAGTACTACGGGCAATTGCTCGCGCCACTAGCTCGCTGTGATAGTCCTGCCTTGAGCAAATATGCACACATGCGCGACAGGCTTCCAAGCGAGCATTGCTGTGCAAGTAGCGCTAAACGAGTATTATCTTTGATAGCTCTTGTCGCTCTGCGAAAAACTAGTGGAGCAAATTCTATTAATATATGCATCTATTTTGTTTACACTGAATGTATAATATCTATTGTACGTTTCTTGAGCGAGAAAATAGCCGATAGTTAGTCGCTTTCTTGCCAGCGGTGAAACAACTGCCATATAGAGTAAATTATAAGATAGTGTGTTTGTTGTGTATGTAGGTACAAGTAATTTAAAAATATTGAAATTGGTAATTTAATAAATCCTCGAGAGCTAAGCCTCAAAGTTTAAAATAAAATGTGTTTGTCGGCCCTTTAATTTTGTTAAGTTTGTTTTAGATTTGTAAATGAAATCTGAAAAGGAGATTGCTCAAATTGGCCCAAATGCACAAAAAATATTGACATACACGGTAATTCTAGGCGTAATTTATAATTTAATTTACAGTCATTAGATTTCAACGGACACCTTTGTATAATATATTTCCTTTAAAAAGGACTTTTTATTTTACCGGTTTGGAAAACATACGAATCATTTTTAATGGCTATGGGTGTAGCAACATTCAGCCAAAGACTGATCGAAGTTGTTTATATAACATGAAAACAAATATATTTTGTAAAGATCGATAAAATAAATCATTTTTTTTATTACACTGTGGTATTAATATCCACAACTATATTATCATTTTCACTAGATGCAAATGTGCTCAGACAATTATTATAGATGGTAGGCGACATCATAAAGTCTATTGCCATACATTTTTCGCCAAACACCTCCATAAACACATTATAATCTGTATATAATATGTAAGATTTTAAGGTATCTATCTATGGGCCTACCTTCCCTGACTATAAATTAATAAATAAATAAAATGATAAGGTGTGATACACTAAAAATCTAAAATATGGTTATCTTAAAAACATACCAAAAATAATGAAGTTACTGAATAAAATATGGCTATAGAACCTAAAACTCTTAGCTTTCTTTGGTTAACGAGAGTTTAAAAATTCTCTGTAATCTGTGGCTCATTCACAATCATCACAGAGTTTCTGTCACAGAGTACCTTATTATAACCGGAAATGACACCTGATTTTAAAAGTTACTCTTATGCATTAACTTTAAAAACTGGCAACTATCTGTTAATCTACATGCTCTATATACCCGAATCTTATCCATAATTTCGGTACTTGGCTTGATTTCCTTAGTTTACTATATAACTTATTTGTTTTTTATTATTTTAATATGTTCAGTGTATATGGTTTATAGAAGTTCTCAGGGGTGTCCGTCAATAATATTCGTTTCTACAGTAATTTATATATAATTTGGAAACTAGGAAACAATTTTTCATGATTATTGGTCTTTAGGCCAAACATGTATGGAAGCTGAACAATCTCCTTTACATACTAGGTACTTTATGAATTGACAGTGATGATATATTACTTGAATTTTCAAAAACACTGAATCAAAACCGTCATATCGATTGTTTTTTGTCTACTAAAAGTCTTTATAGTAAGAGAGCCCTAACGGGGATTTACATAAGCCCGGCAGAATAACATAAGATCCTAACCTTGCACCATGTGAAGTACTCCCACCTAGGGTCACGATTTGGGAATTTCAAAAGTCCTGACATTTCGAATAAAGTCCGGACTTTTTAGTCACGAAATACCATACTCACTTAGTTACAATAGTATGGCATTTAAATCAATATGTACTTTTATTATTCATATTTAATGTAATTTTTAAAATCCAGACAATTTAAAGATCCGGACAAAGTCAAAAAGTCCAGACATGTCCGAACTAATCCGGCCGGATGGTAACCCTACTCCCACCATACTTGAGCCTTTTATTTAGGTTCGAACGTCTAAGGCAGCAAAAAGAATTTAGTCACATCCAAGTCTCATACAAACTTCTATTCCTTAGTTTAAGTTAAGGGGTTGGAATAAAAGTTACAGGTTTTATAATTTTGATGTAGTTTGTGTACTACTAGTAGCTTACCAATACCAAATTTCAGCTTTCTAGGTCATTACAAAATACCTAAAAAAAATTATCGTCGGTAAGTCAGTAACGAAATCATGGTTTTTAGGTATCAATAAAATCTTAAGTATTAGAGTTATGCTATTAAAACTTAATCCGCCTTATAAAGAAACGTAGACGAAAGTTAAATCTGGACTTAAACCGATGCTATGACTTTTGTTTTCTAAAAAGAAAACAGAGACAACGTTAAGTTTAAAACCAGTCTAACTTTAGTAGATTGGCTTAATTGGGTAGAATTTGTTCACCTGGTATAATCCAAAACCCAAGTTATAAATATATTTTTAATGGTTCAAACGCTTCGAAAAGTAGTGCTTTTGCACTTCGCTTTGCTCGTCTTGTTATTTTGGCAGATTTCAATTACTTCCAAGTATAGAGTTTTTTAAATTAACAAAATGTTGCATACCTATTTACTTTAATTCTTTATTACAATTTATACCTAATCAGTTAAATTTGGAATCGGCGCAAGTCAGATTACAAATTATCTTTATGAAAAATCTATAATGAAAGCTGATATAGATGATAAACGCATCAGTTTTTATGCATTTTAAGATAAGATATTGTTGACTCCATCTATCTTTCGACGAGAGAAGCTGCAAGAGGTCCACCATCATCGTCTATTCACACATTCATCACTCACTTATTAGTTTTATATACATTCACACTCCCTCTTGCAATTCGAATTCAAAATAGACAACGTACGCACATAATTTCAATAAGATCTGTATTTTAATATGAATAATATATCCTACAATCTGAATATCCGATTTTTATTGAGAAATCCACATATAGAAGATACTAAGCTATCGAACAGATGTTTTGTTAATTGTGCTTGAATTTGAAATATCAAATAAAAATTTTAAGCATCAAACTACTAGATTTATAAACATAAAGAAAATTTAACTAGAAAAAACATAAAATTTATTTTTTAGTTTGCCTTCGAGGCAAACTTAAAATGTAAATGTTAAAACATAATTTTAAAAACAATTTTACTATGAAAGCCGTTTGAACTATTGCTCGTGTTTAGTAAAAAAATATTTTAATAAAAATACTAATTTTAAAATAGATTTCATTTAATTACATAAAAAAAATATATCATCTATACTTATAATAAATCTGTAGAGAGGTCAATTCTGTACATGAAATATATTTTCAAAATAACTATCAGGGGGTGATTAGTGATCGATACTGATGCCAAAAATGCAATCAGTAAAATTTTTGTCTGTCTGTCTGTGTGTATGTTCCTTATAGAAACAAAAACTACTCGACAGATTTTAACGAAACTTGGTACAATTATTCTTCATACTCCTGGGTAGGTTATAGTATACTTTTCATCACGCTACAATCAATAGCAGCAGAGTAGTGAAGGGAAATGTTGGAAAAACGGGAGAAGTTACTCCATTTTTTTAGCTTCCGTCGCGTGTGCAGCCTTAATGGTTAAAGTTACATAGAAATCATGTATGACGGAAATATTCTACATAAAATTGTCTAAAAAATATCCCGCAACAGCATATGTCTATCTTTTATGGTTGACTCACAATAACACGTGTAATTATATAAATAAAGTCATTGTTTATAGCACAAGCCTGAGAACAAAAACTATAGTTTACACTACAGCTCTACACCGAAGCGAAGCGAGGGCGGGCCACTAGTAAATAATAATAAATATACCCTTACTTGTGAAAAAATATAATGTCAAAATTAAGTAACAGTATGGATTGACGACGTTAAGAGATCAATACGAAACCTTCTGTCAATTTATAACGTCCATTCATTTAACCTTTAATTATATACACGCCTAGTTAGAGCAATCTAATTAACGGCTCATGTTACGCGCAATGTGTGCGTGACTCTAATGTCTGATTGTTGGAAAGCAGCAACAATCTTAAAATTCCCTAGATACACCAACACGAACAAAATCGTGCCCGAAACCTGTCCAAAAGATACCTAGGACGATCCATGAAGCTCCGTAAGATGATCGCATAGTCAAAAACAACGTAAGGCAATATTTGAACATAGAAAGTCACCTTTAACGTATACTGGATAAGGTCTTAGTTAAAACGCATGCGTCAAAGAGTTATGACAGTTCGAAATGCAAGCTCGTAAAATTTTACGACTTATTGCTATATGTGGAAGAATATAGACCTTATTTCTTTGATTCTACGCGCAATTCTGAATGCGCTGTTAGCAATATTACCGACCATGCATTTGAATATCACAAATATTTTGTATTAAATCAGTTTATAGTAAGTATTAGAACAACATTTGCTTCATATGCGTAAATTAACAAACATTGATTAGATACCTGTCGAAAAAACAATACTTCACATACTATTAATATTTATTCGCATTTTTTCACGGAGCTCTGCGGCAACTTGACTTTTCGACGATCCGCGCCTGACTGTGAACCAAGAAGTGCTTGAGTGGTGTTCAAGCACTTCTTGATTGGCATTTTAAGAGCATGTGTTGTATCTAGGGTATTTCATATCGTTGGAAAGCAGTCAATGTGTGCGTGTGAAGCGACGAGCTTAACCCTATGTAGTAGATATACTTTTCGCCGCTTCCGTGCAGTTATGCGATTGCTAGGCGTGTATATAATCAAAACATTGAACTACCTATATTAATGTTTGTTCCGATTTTCAACACATTTCTTTATGAACGCTCCCACGATGAACATCGGATGCTTCTGCCACTCGTTGAGTACCGCCTTGGGAATAGTAACCTGGAAAATAACGTTAAGGAATAATGTTAAGACAATTTTGTCCTTGTGCTTATTCTTCGTATCAGCTAAAAGACGTCCTGAATGGTAGACGTAGTAGATATGATGGTAGATAAAAATGGACGATTTGTTTCTTAGGTTTTCACGTACATCACTCATTAAATAAAGTTTCGTGCATAAACCCGTTAAAACTAGTTTTATTTAAAAATGGGCGATTCAAAAGAGCTTTAAATAAGTATTTAAGTTCAATAACTTTAGTAGGTATCATCATCATCACCTCCAGCGTATAAATGTCCCCACTGCTGGGGCACAGGCCCTCGCTATAGACGGGATAGGGAGATTGCCCTTTATTCCACCACGCGGGCCCAGTTGGTGGGTACTAACGACTGCAGATGCAGCCGATACTAACGGCTTAGCGTGCCTTAAGCACGGAGGAGCTTGAGATAATAAGTTTTCGGTCACCCATCCAATGACCGACCATTGAGAAAGTTGCTGAACTTCCACGATCGCAGGTCGAACACGCTATCCGCCTGCAGCATCGAGCTCCTCTACCTTTAGTATGTATACCCACTTATTAATATTTATTTCTTGAATTGATTTTCTATCTCTGTTAATAATAAAATGTATTTTTTTTTGTTCAGCTGTCAGTATTTGGGAAACCTTATACTGGGTTACTACTACTACTTATACTATGTTCCAGCGTTATCCATTTGTCTGTACATCAGTCTTATGAATAACATTGTCCAAATATGACCTGATAGATTAATTGAAGCAAGTTTTTCAACGGATACAAAAACTTAAGTAATCATAGGAAAATTCATATTAACATAAAACATTTGTTGAATACTTATTCAAAAGGTGTTTGAAGCGCGATTTATTAACTTTTTTCATTATTATCGACATTTCGGATCCTGCAACAGACTCGGTGGTCAAAAATTGTTTTATTAAAACTTATTTTTTCTTTTTATCTGATCGCTTTGTAGCCTGTCCACGAAAGTGACGCACGCAAAACCCGCACGCCTCACACGTGATAGCTACGAATGCCGTCACTTTCATCTCTATGATCCTCACACCGTCTCGTTAGAACTTCCGCCTCTTTAGTATTTGGTAAGGAGTAGTATTTGTCGGATCTGTTTACTGGTGCCTTGGTTTAAAAAGTGTTATATTAAAACTTCTTTTTTACCTGATCGCCTTCCAGCCTGTCCACGAAAGTGACGCAAGCAACACCCGCGCGCACCCCCGCCTCGCTTGTGATAGCTGCGAATGCCGTCACTTCCATCTCAATGTTTCTCACGCCCAGTGACGTCAGCTTGTTCAAATATTCCATCTTGTCTGCCTCACTGTAGTCGCACAGAGGCCCGTCGAGGCGACCCTGACCTGAAACAATTGTTCACATGAATTAAATTCTTTTTTGCATTAAAATATAACGATATGGTCATATAAGTGGTAAGCACGGAGGCCCTCGGATTGTTCAAATACTCCATCATTTCTGTGCTGCGTAGTCGCACAGAGGCCCATCTAGGCGCCCCTGACGTGTTTACCATTTTTCACTTCTATACCTACCCAGAGTTAGTTTTTGTACTAAAAATAACTTAAAAGTACGTACTGCAAGGCTTGTGTTATAGGATACTAGGATTACAGATATAAATACATGCAATTAAAAACATATACGAAATGTACTGGCGGCTTCGTCGATTTTCTTCAGAATCCCACAGGAAACTGATATTTTTCTAGAATAAAAACTAATAAAATATATGCATATTCCAATCCGTTCAGTAGCTTTTGAGTAACAAACATGCAAACATTCACATTTATAATATTAAGTAGGATTTTTGAAAGTTTATATAAACAGCCACGACTTAGGTATAAATGCCCGTATTCATCATACAAACGTTTGCCCCACCAGAATTAAAATTCAGGACTTTTAGAGGTCCTAAGCTCCATTACAACTTCACCGCGAAGGTTTTCAAAAGGGTGGTAAACATATGCATTATAATAGCCCTAGTAAGCATTAATTCTAAAGTAAATCTGTCTGTATGCCTGTTTCACGGCTTGACCGCTTAATTTATTTAGCCCCCTGTATCAGATACAAAGAACCTCGAAGAAGTACTTAACCAATTAATCTGAAAGCACGAAGTTGCAAGCACCCTCTAGTAATTTAAAACCTTTCGGAATAAATGAACAGAAATTTAAATGATTTTCCCACTTATAAACAAACGAAGTATAAACTTGGTGAAGTTACAAAGTTTGTAGTAGTTGGTATATTCACGAATTACATCGAATTAAAAAAAATTAGGAATATAAACAAAATACTGCGAATAAGTTATAGCTACAGCCATAGACCAAGTTTCATCAGCTGAATTCTTGATCCATGGTTCCACACACCTCGATAGAAGTCGTCTGCTCCCATTGAAGCCGCCGCGTAAGTTTTGAACTTCTTAAACTCCGACGCAGCAGTAACGAGTTCTTCAGACAGTCTCTTGTCCAAGTACGACGGCCATGTTCGCTTAACACCCAACACTGGCTGAAAAGGATCGATAATGAAAACTTGATATTTGGAAAAATCTTTAATCATACTCAAGCAACTTTAGGAGGAAGTAGTAAAATATAGTGTCAATCTAAGTGTCTCCGCACACGGGCCACCGACCACAACCACAAAACGCCGCCACCGGCATATGTCTTGTAGATTTCATACATTTTATATGGACTCGCCACACACGATACGCCGGAGGTCACCACACGCTACAAATCGTCGTTGCTCGCTTTTTGGCCCGCACCGGCCACTTAATGCACCGATACAAAACACCGCCACACGTCACTCGCGTGATTCACCACCCCTCTCTCCCTTACCTTAGTCGGCCGCTGTCGCGCGCTTCAACCACTTTAGCAGCCGCTTCTAGCTTCTCGTGGCGGCGTTTGTGGCTGTGGCGTGTGGCCCGTGTGCGGCGGCACTAAAGTTCGCTGAGTGCGTTTGTGCGCCTTGTTACATGAGTTCTATTTTACACACACACCTTCGTACTTTTATGCTGCCCGGTCTCTAGGCTACTAATGGCCCTCGTCTGCGCAGTTATAACCCCTAATGCTTTTTGTCTTTTTTTATCAAACGAAGTTGACAGTACAATTATTAGACCACGTTTAACTTAAGACAAGCTTATGAAATAAGAGGGTGACACTCACTTACTCATCCCAAAATCCATAATCTATTATTAGGACTTACCAATTCAAATGACTTCTCCAATGTGCCACTGAGGCCGAAGGTTGAGATGACAACGGAACCTGGCGGTATTCCGAGCCCACCACTCGTGCCCAGTCTTATGAAGATAGGGTCCTTAGCCTTCGCGTAGTACATCAGTTTTATCACTTCCTGGAGGACTGTTGTCATCGAGGGAATGCCGATGAAATGCTGGAAAAATATAGTTATTTTATGTTTAAGCAAGCAAAAGAGCTGGCAGTCCTCTTGATGGTAAATGGAACTGCCGCCCACTACCACTGATGCGTTGCTAACTAAATTGGAATTTTCATATTGCTTTAAGCCTTTCAAATATTTTTCTTTGAAGCGAGCTGAAATCGGAGCAACCGTCTGATCATACAAGGACAATGTTAAAATTGGCCTAAGAACCAACACCAATTTGGCATTTATGATAACTCTTAGTATATTTTTTGCGATAATTATCAGTATTTAGATTGTGACGGACACTTCCAGTTAAGTAAGCTAAATTAAAAAGTTAAAAAATAATCTGAGACAATAAATACCATTTTATGTGTATAATCTATGGCAGCGCTGCAAACATAATTCTAATACGTTATCTTTAAGGTCATCAGAAAATCTTGCTCTTATGACTCCCGTACACGGCACAACTTTTTTCCACCGTTCGTTTGCAGTGCAAGCCGTACATCTATGGAATTCTCTTCCGGTTTCGATAAGACGTGCGAAACTATTAATGCGTTTAAAAACCTTGTGAAGTCCCACTATCTGACATTGTAATACTTTTATTTTTAATATCTCATGTTCTAAAAACTGGACTGGATCAATGTATGTTTTTATACTTATTGTATCTATGTATGTATTTATGTATGTATATATATCTTATATACGTATATGTGTATGATATGTATTTACTAATAGATTATATTATACTAGCGATTTACACCGCCGTCTCTCCCACTTCCTTCTAATCCTCTCCATCCAAAGGTTGCCTGGAAGAGATCGCTTTAAGCGATAAGGCCGCCTATTGCATCACCTGTACTAAATGTTTTTGTGCTGAATGTTCAATGTTTTTCGTGGTGTTTAATAAAGAGTTTTTGTATTGTATTGTATTGAATGTGTAGTAATTTAAATTTCACTTTTAAAACTTGGTGGACTTTACCAACTTTGATTGTATACCCCTGAGATCTCTGTTATGTTTTGATTACGTGAATAAAGAAAAAATGCGTATCCAATACTTTTTAATAATCTACCTGGCAGCAAACCTGACAGAGTAAGAAAAAAAAAGTTAATCATCATCTCCTATGTATGAAGCTTGGTCTCTCTGACTTTTTACTCATGAGCTGTAATCCTGGTAACCTTGCTCTCTGAACTGAATAGCGATAATTGGCTCCAGTCTTCGGTAAGTACAGGATATCTACCTAGAAGAGGTTATAAAAAGATGAACTAATGAATAGGTTCCATAGAATAATAGCCATGATTTTCGAAGAATATTTTAGAAGAATATTTCAGCCCTGTCTTAAACGACGACTATTTGGTAAAATCCCTGATAGTATATCAGAACTGTAAAAAAAGGAGTGTCCCGCCACTTGTTGATAAGTTCCCAGATAGCATATCAGAAGTAACTAGATAGCAACAGACATGATTCATGAAGATACCTTTCATTACTTAATATGGGAATTGTACAATAATAAATTTGCATCGGCATTTTCATTGTAGTGGTATACAGTATAAATACAAATCATTTGATTTATATTAATTCTAGATATTTATTTCAATAGTTAAATAGTATAGAGCAGACTCATCTCTGCTGTCAGCACCCGTTTACGGGCATGTCGCATAATATTTTTAATTTTTTTACCAAAATGACTCAGGCAGATTGATCCTTAAAATGAAAATATAAAAAGATTGTATAATTAATCGCTGAGTTTCTATACAAGAATTATTAGTATTTTTACGAAACTAATTTCGAAACCAGTTTCGAAAGATGGATTAAATTCCTTTATCGAAAACGGCCGAAGGGGACATTCCACCTGGTAGAAAGTCACTACTGCCCATGGACACTTGCTGCACCAAGGGTACTCATGCGTTGCCAGCTCTGAAGGAAATGGGTTACCTGCCTTTCGAAGACCACCATATCATAGCTGAAAGGAAAATCCGCTAGGGGAATTTCGTTCCAGATCTTGCTGGAACGCAAGAAAACGAAACGCGTGTCTCGAATGAAGCTAGAACACGAAACGTCCAGTTGATGGGGGTCATAATTAAGTTTCAAAGGCTTAACAAGAAAATTAGACAGTATAGTACTATGTACAACTCAGCGGCCTTAGAATGTTAGCAAGTATTACAATGGCAGTTAACCCTACAGACCAGCGTCAATAATTTTTAGAACAAAAAAATTCGGAACAGGATCTTAAGTCAGAGAACACATTAAAAAAAGAGGAAATGTAAATTAAGAATGATTTGAGGTCAGGAAGGGTTTATCGAGGTTTCAACGGGAAAACTACAACTTTTATCGATCAATGGCAAAATTATAGGTAATCAAAAGATCTACAACTTTTGTATTCACACTTTTTTCACATAAGCTAAAAATAGCGACAAATTAACAACTTACGTTAACCGACAGCACCGGACCGACTTTGTACATGGCGTATCTCTGCGAGGCTTTGGTTAAGTTCACCGGTTTCGGGTCTTGAGGCAATCCTAGGATGTTTGCTATGTAGCACGCGAACTCTCTCATCCGATGCTTGGTACCTCCCATGACGACGAACTGAAGTATAAAGTAGAATAAAATAGTTTCAACAGGAGAACAGTGAGATACTCTTGAGAACAGAGCCTGAAGGATCCGAAACGTAGAGATATGTATAAAAGTATTCAAAAATGCATCTTAAACCCGTTGGAACAGTGTTTTATTTACAAAGCAGAATGTTATTCTATATAGCTAACTAAAATAATGCATACCGATGTTAATGATGATCCCTTCAACATCAGTATGGATTATTATTATATTATGGAAGGCCATCAACTATCCGTGTTTGCTATTTGTAAACTTCACGCAAAAAAGGGCAGACTGTGTTGAGTATACAAATAGCAAATACAAATAGCCAAGTGAAGGGCATTACAAAAAGGATTAAGATGCAGTTCTATGTTCTCAGTAAAATGTCGTGTTATCTTAATAATAGGGTCTTATAGATAAGCAATTCGAAATAGATTATCGGCCTTGCAGTCTAAGCAATACTAGAGGAAATTCGACACGGTCATTCAAGTCGCGGTAGCATAATTCGTCAGTGCAATTGCCCGGATAGCGAAGGGTGCGGGCTGGAGTTCCGTCTGCTGCCAGGAGCGCGTGGAATTTTTCTTCTTTAGATTTAAACATCTAGTTCAGTTCAGAGCGGACGCGATCTGAGAGACATTTGAGAAATTGGTATTTGAAAAAACTATTGCTATCAAGCATTGGCAAATACCGTGCGATAGAGATAGCAGTAGTTAACGCTCAAAATTGCGTATAAAAATTGCAAAATTCTAGGTTTGGCTCTCGACGAATTCCTCCTCGAAAATAAGATATATGTAAAAGAAATTTTACCCATAGAATAATAAGTAGTTATCATATGCCTCTTTGTTTTGTTTTGTTCGAAAATGCTTATTTAATCTCCACACTAAACCTCTTCACTGGTGATAAAAATTTGTTTATTTTTGGCTTTTTTGAGGGCTTCTAGTTTCTGTGAAACATAAGTTATTAAAAAAAGGAAGACAAATATTTTATGTTTGAAAATCAATTATTTTGGTGATAAACATGAAAGAAGAATCAGTCGAAAAAGTTTGCATGGAAAAAACATTGACCGCCTCCCCTCTTAAATGTTTAAAAAAAAAAAATATTATAATGAACTAGATTATCATAACTTTATCTATCGTTCTGGAAAATATCACAGCTCTTCCGTACATTTGATCAAAACCTTTTAAACTAGAAGAAATTCGACACTGCCATTAAGGTCTCTGTAGCATAGAGGTTACTACATCCACCCGGGCAACAAAAGGCGCCAGTTCGAATCCAGTCTGACGCATGGACCAAGTGGCAATATTGCCAGTAAAAAAATCTTAAGATTATTATTTAAGCCATTTAATACTTAAAATAGAAAATATAATAAACTTATGACGTTTATGAGTAGTTATTTACCTTCACATCTCCAAACATGGCGGGCAAGTCGAAATTCGCAGTGTCGATCGACAAATGGTAGAGGAAATCAACATCCATCTTCGACAGGTTTTTGTTCGGCAAATTTAGGGTGCCATCGGCGTTCCTGCAATGTCATACTTCACTTAAACAGGATGTACAAAATTATTTGACAGCTGGTGATGATTCATCTCTAAGTCACTTTGATTGAAATAAATAAAATAATTTGACTATGTAGTAATAACGATTTCAAATGTTAGTCAGGGTTTTATGATTTCATCAATAATATCCTTCAATTGACATTTAATTTATTATCAGGCGGTTGATGACTGATAAATATTTTGTGAATAGTTAAACTCCATAAAGATTCTTTGATTATTTTTTCTCAAGGTCGTGCAATGTAACTTAATTTATACTAGATAAAATTCCACGCGAACCAGGCAGCAGATGGGACTCTTTTTCTAGTAAAAATTTATTTGTATATAAATATTAATATACGAGTATGTCACCGGCTATCTGTATAATTCAGGTATTCTATACAATACCTTTTACGCAGGCAAAACCTCTATCTACAGATGTTGCCGCCCCTTAGGGGCATACCAACGAACGGACCTCACACCTAGCCTCTCGCAAGTCCCACGGGTGCGAAAAGGAGAAGTCATTTAGAAGTCCGCGGGGCTTACGAGCGCTTAAGGCATAATATCCGCTAAAATACCCTGCGAATACCCTCTACGCTGTTAAGTGCAGAACCGCGAGATCCACGTTGTGGGACTTCACCGCGTCTATTCTATACAATACCTAGGGATTGTAAAGAGCACCTACTGGCCTACCAGCACCAATGTGTAAAACAAACAGATTTGGCCTGTATTTATCCTACCCTAACCTACCCAGTTGACTATAAACTACCGTCCGTCCGTCAGGACGGATTTATATAATTCTCACCTAATGAACTAAAGACCAAAAAACGTTAACCAACTCTATTCTCAACTCTAATCGACTCGGTATTTTATTTTACACACAATACCGACTGTGCTATCGGAATTATATAGAATACCTAGACAAGGTGTTAAATTAATAATATTTCATACATTGCCTTCGTTTACACATTTTCGGTATTCTATATCATCTTTCAATTGACGACACTGTATGAAACAAAACAGGGAGAAAAAAATAGTCCTTGCTGAGTTTCTTATCGGTTCTTCTCAGTACAAGGTCTCCCACAGTAGATTTACGAACCGATGGCGTAGCGTTTGACTTTCAACAACTATGTCTGATTAAATGAGGTATTGTAGCGCCTAGGTGTTGTAGGGCGCGTGGCAGATCACCAATGCGCTGGACCTATGAGATAAAAGCGGTACTGAACGGTCTTGAATCACTGAACTTCACAAGAGCACGAAAAATGCCGCAGTGCGGGAGGAATGGCGGCATATGGTGAGGCGCGCCACCAGTCTTGACCAAGACCACTCTGTCTAGAGTGTAGCGCCGAAGAAGAAGGTATTGTATGGAATGCCGAATAGAGTATTTGACAAGTTTTAGAAAACGCTCTCACGTTATTTACTATTGTTTATAGAGTCCATAAAAAGTAGATATTCATCATTATGTATAGTGTATTTCGGTAAAAAAACCAAAGCAAAAACTCTATTTTCAAGTTGCCGCGCAAAACGTATCTCTGGACAATATGGCGTCTCACTGGTGTGTGACGTCACACGACTGTCATTAAAATGTCAAACCATACAGTCAAATGTCACTTTAACCGGAAGTTTACTTGCGTGTGACGTCATTTTAGGCTCCACCAATACCAAGCGTTTTGGGTCACGGGATAATAGACAAGAAAACTATTATCTTTATCGTGGGTTTTTAGTAAAATTATGAATATTTTTTCTGTAAAAATAGTAAAAACTCCTGCCAATATTCATTCTAAATACAGATGCTAACAATTGGCAGTTTATTTTTAATACTGTCAAAAACCCTTTGCCGGTAACATAATATACATAACAAATTTCAAATAAGCTTTAGCACCGTGCTATAACATTAATAAACACAGCAAAATATGTTTAATCTCCATTCAACTAAGACTAGATATATCTCATGGAAAAGTTTCAAAACGTCAATGTCATTTTGACATCAGTGTATGGGCTAAATCTAATTGTAATCTAAATTGGGCCTTAATTATGCTTAGTCTAGTAGTACTTCTATATTTTGGGAATTCAAAACTTTTTTTAATATATAAGGCTTCGAAAAAGCTGCGTAACAGTTTTAAAGGATATACTTCAAGCACAACATTATTTACTAACTTCGCATTGGAAGGAGCTTTTATCTTCTAGAAAGCGCTCGTCATAAATGCTATTGAAATGACATTAAAATATACTTTATTCAAATTCACTTATACAAAGCTCTATTGAATCGTTTAATATTTTTCATACTTTCAGGACACCTTTTAGGTGATGCGAAGAATGAACGCAAGAAGACGCAAGACAAACTTATCAACATTTAACCAATTTAGGAACATTTTTACACATTACATAAAATCAATGCTCTTAAAACATTGAATTATTCGCCATCTTCAATATCAACGAATGTAATTATAATTAAATCATAATTTATATAGCATATCTGTGTCATTTATAATCTTATCAAAGACATGATGTCATCAGCAGACCCTGAAAGTACCTACCCAGTATTATCACCTAAACGCGATAGGTAATAATTAATTGCATTATAACTTCAGCCATTAGTAGGAACTTGACGGACTGAGTGCCCGAGATGTTTATTTTTAATTTTAGATCTTTTTTGGACAAAATAACATATAAGTTAGGGTATATTTGGTAAAATTTTAACACATACTGTTTGATATAAATATGGTAAATGTGGTGTTTACCTATAATTAATTGTAACATTGATAAAAGTGTCTCCGTGTCTATAATTTTTAAGTGTTACAATTGTTGGTAAACCTTTTAAATAAATAAATAAATATTTTGAACTAGCGGCCGCCCGCGACTTCGTGGAGTTAATTATTTGCACATACGTTTTGACCCCAAAAGGGAGTTTATTTCTAAAGATACATTATTAGTATACCTCTACACCATCTATAGAGCATACATGTTAAATTTCAAGTCTCTTACTTCAAAAACATAGGACTTACATACAAACTTCCAACCCCCGTATAGCCTATAGGGGTGGAGTTAGCGTGATAATATGTAGCCTGTGTGTTGATCCGAAATTTGAAGTAAATCCATGCAGTACTTTTTGAGTTTATCCCGGACATACATACAGACAAATAGACAAAAATTCTAAGAACTATATTTTTTACTTCGGTATCGATTGTAGATCACACCCCAGGTATTCTTTTAAAAAAATATTCAATGTACAGTTTTGACTTTCCTATCATTTTATTATATGTATAGATTCTATAAACGGCGTACAAGTATCACATATCAATACATTATTTTCGGTTCAAGGTCGCTATATTTATCGTTGTTAAGGTCCATCCATTGTTGCCCGGATAAAGGAGTGACAACTTGGAAACGAAAAGGATTATCATATTTTAATAATAGTGGTTAGTAGCACTATTGTAACCAACACAGATAAACGGTAGTTTATCACCTCGACACGATATGACATTACGATAGTAATAAAATAAACGGAAATTAGATAACAAGAATAACACACGATTAGTTCTAAATATTCTCGGCTATTATTCAAAATAATTAGCACATTATAAATAAATAATAAAAATAAAAATCGTTTATTTTTAGACGGAGTCCATAGACATGTTAGTATAATTGACTTAAATGCTATGTTAGTAACAATAAGACAATTCCAAAGATGATGTGGTGTCGTGGGACACCAGGTAGGATCGAAGTTCCTTCGTCTAATGTAGAATCGACACAAATTGCAAACTCGCTTGTGTATGCGACTGTCGCGCCTGCGCACGTCTCATTTAACGGTTTTATTCCACGCACTTTTTTCCACGGATTTTTTCTTACGGTTTTACTATCACATTTTTTTCAGTTCGGTCGCGCAGCAAATCCCTCCCTCCAAGCCTGCCGTAAGGAACTTCGTTGCAATAAAATGAAATTTAACAAATATTGGCGTGGACGCAGCACGTGCAGAGCTCAGTGAACCGGCCCAGCAGCACGGAGTCCAGCCGGTCCCCTACCATCCTCAGGATTATGTAACATAACTGTTATGAAGTATTGAAACTTAAGTAGTGAGGCCAAGCGAAATAATACTTAAAAATACGAAATAAAAAATCGACGTATCGAAGTGTAGGCGATTCGATCGAAGTCGGCGTCGCACTCTAGCGTAAATGATTGCTCTTGCTCTGCAAAACATCGAGTTGCATGGCGACGCATCGCGATTGCATCAGTGGCACAGGAATCGACTAAGATAAGACATGACCACGACCGCTCTGTCAAGAGCGCACGACTGTAGGAAAAGGCGATTTAAATCTTGATCGTATAGTGTAATATTAGGAACGATGACGGGGTTAAATAAACGAAACTCTATTAATTTAGTCCGTCCGTTAGAAAGTCAAAAAACAATGGACACTTATTTTTTCTTTTTCAATCAACCAAAAGATTATAAAGATCAAGCGCGTCAAACTTTGAGAGTGGTGGCTAGTGACGTCACTTCTAAGCAATTATTTTTCCAAGACATAAAGTCATGCGACATTTCAAATCAATATAATACCTCTGTAATGTTTTGATTATGTAAATGAATAAAAAATACTTGTCCATAACTAGGCATAACATTTTTTTTTCAATTCCTATGATCCCCATTGTCACGAAATCAGAAATTATAAAACGCCTCAATTTCTAAATATATATCGGTTAGTTTAACGTTAATCGAATTCGTTGATACATGTAATATTTTCACAAGTTTTGGTGAAATTACCCTCCATTGTGAATTGTATGTTTACTCTTTATATTTTAATGATTAATTACTTAACACAATTTCCAACAGCCGGAGGAGACAGACTGTTTATTACGACAAAATTGCTGAACCGATTTAAAGATTTTATAACAATGTACTATAAAAAAAAACTTAGGAAACATTTTTCTATAAAAACAGCAAATAGTAGAATGTTTTTCAAGCATAGAGCAACACGGATGTAACTAACATAACTCTATATTTCAAATCATACTTGCAAGGAAGGTACTGAAAAAGGGATCCCAGCAAAATCATTTTAATGATGAATATGATGTGAACCATATGACGGAAAAATCCTAAGAATTTTGGTGATTCACTGACGATATCGGGGTATTTTAGATATCATTAAAATCTAAAGGATAAAAGCTATGCAATTAAAACTTTATATGTTTTATAAGTCCGCTGTTGATTACATATGTTTACATTACATATACGAACTTAAGTTTTAACCACACCTAGTCATCTTAGCGGTAGCAGTGTTACCAGGTCCGATTTTTAAATATCGGGAGGCGTTATAGAAAATGACAGTGCATGTATGGAATGAAATGGAAAGAGATACAAGAAAAAACAGTACATGCAGAGGCGTACTTTTTCCGTTTTGCACCCCAATCAAGATATATCCCAGTAACGAACGTTTCTGTGGCTTCTACCGCCCCTCACAGCTCGTTTTGTTTTTTAGACACTAAAACTATAATAGATTCTACTATAATAGGGATGATGACTATTTTTTTTCTTCGTTTATCAGGTAGATTATCAAAATGTATTGGACACGTATTTTTTCTTTTTAAATAATAATAAACATTGTACAGATATATTGATTTGAAAAGTCGCATGACGACACGTTTGAGTACACTTATAAGTGAAAATTCACTTAAAAGTGACGTCACGAGCCCCTACTCCCATACTTTGACGCGCTAAACGCATAACTTGTGAACATATTACTTTGTCATTTTTTGGTTGATTGCCCAAAGAAAAAATACGTGTCCATTATTTTTTGGCATCTAACTGACGGTTTAAATAGAATTTCGTTTACTGTACCCCTTCATCACCCCTATTAAGGTTACTCACATTCTTAATGGCGGAAAGCGCAACTCAAAATGCAATTTAAAAAATAAAATCGCATTCTAAGAAAAACAGTAGATACATGCAGAAAAACAGGAGATCTCCTGTAAAATCAGGAGACCTTGCAACCCTGAGTGGCATTGAGTTCTAAGATTAGAACAGTAGATATTGGTTTTGTATGAAGCTATATACACATATTTTATATTCATACTAGCTGACCCAGCGAACTTCGTACCGCCATAAAAATAGGGGCAGGTGGTAGAAGAGAAAATTTAGGGTTGTATGTATTTTTTAATACCACATTATAAAAAGATAAAAAATATCCAAAAAAATTTTAGGGGTGTGTAACGTAGTGTTCTATCAATTTCCTGAGATAACATTCCTCCTAACCTATATGAGAACACTACGTTACAATACCCAATAGTTTGATTTTAGGCGCGAAGGCGCATTGTAGGTTTCAGAAAACTACGTTACAGGTGGACAACCATTATCACTTAAGGATATAAAAAATAGATAGTAGCCGATTCTCAGACCCACAAAATTTTGCATATAAAATTCCATAAAAACCGGTCAGGCCGTTTCGGAGGAGTATGGTAACTAACATTGTGACACGAGAATTTTATATATAAGATTACCTTTTGCTCTCCCGTCCATTGAGCAACGAGCTACAATTGCTGTAATGCTCTTCAGTAACATCGTGTTTTCCAAACACGTAATCACAGTCGCAAGCCATATTTGTGCCTCCGCGTTATTATTTCAATCTAAAAAAAAACATTTAGTGATATATTTTTTGTGATGTTTAATTCTAAAGTAAATATAACTAGAAAAAAAATCCACGCGGACCAGGCAGCAAACGGGACTCGAATCCGCACCCTTCGCTATCCGGGCGAATGCACTGACCAATTATGCTACCGATTCCTCTAGTCATTCTTAAGCTGCAAGGCAGCGCCATCTCTTGGAATTATAGGTAACCCACAATGTCAAATAAATACTTTTACAAGCACTAAACATTTGAAAGAAGAGTGTGTGGATAATGGTCAGTGCATTCGCCCGGATAGCGAAGGGTGCGGGTTCGAGTCCCGTTTGCTGCCTGGACCGCGTGGATTTTTTTCTTCTTATATTTTCCTTCGATTTAAAAAAAAAAATTATTTATTAAGAAGTTCATCTTAAATTTTGAGTCGGATCCATGCATGTTGATAGATTTGAGTTACCATTAACTTACTGCTTGGGTTGGCATGGCACCGACACCAAATCATAAATAGCCTTAAATTTTAATGAAGTAAAGAAGTAGATATGAGTAAAGTTGTACTATTTCTTACTTGTTATTGGTTTTGTTTTTTTATGAATTCTCTTCCTATTTTTGTTTAAAGGGTTTTACTTATTACGGACGTTCGAGGGATCAGTACCCCTAGCACGAACCAATATCGAATTCGTATCGTTTGCGAGTCCGAAATGTCATTGTCAAATGTGAACTGATTTTTTCTGAGTTCGTGCTAATGGTACAGATTCATTTTGAGAACTAAACAAACTTATAGTTTTTTAGTTTAAAGAGCCACGTGAAAATTCCATTGTAAACAAATCAATCCGTTGAGAACCAATTTGTTTCCAAGCTTGACACGTACGGGAAAATGCTTAATTTCGTTCGGTTTATGTTTGTTTGAATTATGAACGTAGTTACATAACAGAGCGCCTTGAAGAATTTTAATATTTTTAACGCAATAATGTAAACATTTATATTCCAAAGATTTTTTTTCTTAAAAAAAGGAAAAAAGGTTAGAAAAAAGAAAATTACCGACCTAAGTTTATTTTCGTGATTTTTTCATAATGGTGAAAAAACCCAATGCTATCCGCGATGTGATTTAAAATTAGAACACGAATTTTAAAAAAAATCAAATCACACCAGCGGATTTGGCGGTGAAAATTGAGTTCGTTCTTGCAGAAAAGCACTGCTGGAGCGCGCTATCCGTACGCAGCTTAATATTTTGTAGAATACTTATTTATGTTATTAATTGAAAACGTAGATATATAGAATAGATACACTAGCGACAATACCATTTAACTTATTCTAACATATTGCTTAAATATTCTTAGCGTAATGGTATGCCTTTATATGCGTATAGAGCATTCTAAAATATAAAGTACTTGACCTACATGAACACATGTTTCCTTCATAATGATAACAAATTACAAATTGCAATTTTATCTTGACATTTTATCATTTAAGTTACATTGCGTGTACTACAGCTGTGACTACGAATGCCATATTTAGAAAGTTGCGCGAAAATTTTAATATTTATTAAAACCTAACTTATGACTCTACCCGATAAGTTGCGGTGCAGTCGAGTTAAAGGATTTTTTAAAATATATTTATCAAGCAGGACAAAGTTTTTAACGGCTCTGCTGCTGAAAAATTTAGGTACATAATTAATCAAAACACTTACCTTTCTTAACCAACAAACGATAATTCAAATAACCCCGGTCACTACAATAACTTTTTTATTTCACAACACACACTGTCGAAAAAGGTACCTGATGAAATAGGTCTAAAGTGTCTACCAACCGATGCTTGCAAACTCTAAATATATACTAAACCATATCGCCGGTGTACAGCTGCAAATATATTGTACGTAGCATTACTGATACTGATGATACACATGTTGTGTACAATCGGTGTGATCACAATGGTTACACTTGCATTCCTATTATCGTTCATGATTGGCGCTTTCGTTATCAAATTGTATTGTCGATGATCGACTGTGTGTAAGAAATGACACATCGTATTGAAAATCCTTGAAGCAATGAAATCCTGTTAATGTATATGCTCCTTGATTATTTAAGGGTATATAACCAAAGACTATCCTTAGGCGTAGCGCAGAGGGGCAGACTGTAAAACCAGCCGCGCACTCCTAATTATGCTTCAAATTTTAAAGCATATTAAGATTTCTTAAAAATTCTCTCCAAAAAATTGGCTAGTCCACCAGCGTGGGCCGTCCGCCATATATGGCATTACACAGCAAATGGAGACGTTTTATGTTTGTATGGGACTAAGGCTAGGCCTATTTTGAAGATACAAATAAAGGAAATGGAAAACATAGCCGACTCCGACTATTCAATTTTCCATACATACTTCCTTACTTTAATAAGTCCATGACAAAACTTAACGCTTAATGTCATACATGTTAATGGCACTCACTGGCAGTCATGTGTCAGGTGTCAACAGTTCGGGAATGCAATAACAACACATGAACAGTACACAGTACTAAACATAATGTTTCTAAGTACTCTTCTATCTAAACTTAATCTATACAAATATTGACCGCCCTAATCTCAGGAACTCAAACGGTAACGACTTAGTTCCTATCTTTAATATATTTTAAGTAAAGCACTTTAGGCACTTAATAAATAGAAATTTAATAAAAAAATATGTATAGAGTCTGTGCGGAAAGAGAATGTGATTTAGATTGGAGGGCGCTGTAGTGCTTTTCTACCGTATTTGTAAGGTTTTACCCCAAAAATCTTCTAGCAGAATATTGAAAAGAGTAATTTCTTATAACTGTAAAGTTCATACCTTTCATAAATTGTTAATAAACTTCATAGATAAATGGTTGTCACTCGAGCGAAGCGAGACCAATCATTCATCTATGGTAAAAGTAATAAAAAGGAATGAAATAATTAATTAATATGGTATTCATAAAAAATATGAACAACCAGAAGTTTGAATAATTTGTAAATAAATATAGGTGCATGTTTGTACATACCGACCTATAAAATAAAATTTTGAACTGCTCGATCGTAGTAATTGGCCAAACAAATCCTTAGAAAAGGTATATATAGGTAAGAGTGGGCATAGGGGATTTTCCGCTCGAACTCGATCGCCCGTCTGGGGACCTTACAGAAGATCACAGTAAAATAACATTACCTTTTGGTAGTCTTGTGTTCCTGTTGGGAACCTTACTGGTTCCAGGGCTTCACGGGTTAGGGGATTGGGTCAGGATAGGCATCGCTGCGAGTGATATTTTTGGTATTGCGTCTAGAGGATATGGTGGCCGCTTACCATCAGGCGGGCCATATGCTCCGGGGGGCGGTACGGTGGGCACTAGGCCGCGTACCCAGCCCCCACGCGCGGGCCATCCTGTGCACGTCTGCGGGGTCCCCGTAATCCCTCGTGAGACCCCTGCCGTGGAGCCCCGGCGAGGCCGGGAAGCTGCTGGTGCGGAAGAATCCCTAAACGGGGACCCCGCGGCTTCGCATAAAGCAGTGTAGAAGGTATTCACAGGACTTTTTTAGCGGATATTATGCCGTAAAGCGCCCGTAAGAGTTGCGGGGTCCTCGGTGGTCAGCCACTGGGGGGTCCGTAAGACTTGCGGGAGCCGTGTGTGAGGTCCGTTCGGTGGTGTGCCTTTTAAAGGCGCCGTCGTCTGTAAAGAGATTTTATACCTGCGTTAAAAAAAAGGCGGGCCATATGCTTGTTTACCGCCATTTTTCAATCCGGGCCGTTTCTGGCACAAACACTGTCTAATGCCATCCAGCGTGGCAATGCTACAAGCATAATGGGCACCTTTGCGCCAGAAACGACACGGGCTGATATTTGACGATGTTTGTATGTATTCTTGTACATAATGTTAATTTTAGGTATTTTTAAATTAAAAAACTTATAAATTAATAAACTACTGGTCCCATTTCAAATAATGGTGATGCTCGAAAGACGTTAGTGTGGGAATCTCTAAATCAGAGGTTCCCATACTTTTTGGTGTCGTAGACCCTTTGCATGTTTTTAAGTGTTGGGTAGACCCCTACTTACCTTATATTGATTTATTGTAAATTTTTATCTGGAGGGAAGTCAGTGTAACAAGATGATTCTGGTTTATCATTATATGCAGGTTTATACAACTTCAAAATGCGATCACAAAGCGAATATCTTACAACTTACAAAATTTTATAAACATATGTATAATATTTTTTATTATTTCATAGGTACTTTTATAAATAATGTATATGTCTTTTTAATAGAAGATAGCATAATGTAAGTAAATAAGTACTATCAGAGTATGTTGAGAACCATTATCGTGGACCCACATTTTCATTTCATGGACCCCCAAATTTTTTTTCGCTGACGTGGACCCCTTGCAGGTCGTCATAGACCCCTAGGGGTCGATATAGACCACTTTGGGAATCACTGCTCTAAATAGTCCTGTCGATTAAAACCTTCGTATGATTTTGAAAGGCCACTGTGTCAAAAAAGCGAAAAAAAAATTAAAATCAAGTGATCGTGTTTGTTTTCCTACCTGTCATTTTATTATGAACCATTTTTGCAGATATGTTTTTATAAATCTTTTCAGTTCCTTTTATAATTAGGTTTTAGTTTTATTTTTATAATTTTTATTCCGTGTCATTTTAGACCTAAGTTTTAGCTACTAAATCATGCCTGAGTAAGTAAAGCTACATTTTTGATTAGTTTAGTTGTACTTTCAAACCAAAGATTCAGATCTTTGTTTCAAACGGCAAATTTTAGTTCTGACATAAATAAGTACCTATCTACGATAAATTTGATCTTCAGAATTTATATTCATTGGATAGGCATATGAAATGTTATAAGGGTTATGATATTGGCACCCCTTACATAATTTAGTATATAGAAAAAGTTTTTTTAAGTTTACTGAAAATCTTTTATTATATTTTTTTCTATCAGCATGGTTAAGAAAGAAGCTAGCATATTTTTATTTTTCTGGCACTCAGACCAGACTTAAGCCTGCTGGTCAAATTTCTGCCGCAGGGTCAAACTAGGGTGTAAGAGTGGGGATGACCCATAACTGCCCAACTTAATTTGAACACTACACACAAAGAAACAATGTTTATCAACGATTGCTATTTTCAGGTGTATACCATGCCCGGCGGCGGCAGCCTGTGCCCCCACAGCTGGGGTGAAGTCTGGGCTTCAGGACGGCAAGCCCATGGATGGGAGACAAGAAAACCCTTGCCCATGCAGATCGTGCTGTTGTGGGAAAACACCAGCCGTCAAGCCTGTAAGTCAAGTCTTCTAGAGAAAAAGTATTTCTAGTTTAATCATTTAGGGTTAAGCCTCTACGCACTATCCATCTTGCTGGATCCAGCATGCAGCACTGTAAAATATATAGAGATACAGGATCTCTTTTACGTATATAGCGCTATCCCGCATGCTGGATCTAGGGTTGCCAACCGTATTATATAATATAGTATCCAATATTAGGGTATCATAGCTTTACCCACCATAGTTTACTATCTGTTTTGAAAGCCCTTTATATATATATATATGTGTATATATGTTTAATTCATAAAGAATTTATCTAATTATCTATATTTCTGAGCTTTCTTAAAAATACAAAATTAATTAGGAAGGAACAGAGTAGCAAGATTTATTCATTTAAAAATGAATTAAATATTTAAACCACGTACCTACTATTGCTTTGCCATCTACTATATTTTTAGAGGTAACAGCTTCGAGAATACTATATATGATAGACAACAAGTTGGTAACCCTAGCTGGATCCAGCATGATGGATAGTGCGTACTGCGTAGAGAAATCACAGCGCGCTCTTTTGCCGTGCTCGCCGCGACTGCGAGCGGTCCCGCAACTTACGTAGAATATGAAATAAATCAAATTTTACCAGACACCCGCGTGGTCTGCGGGCGCGCACGGGATGCTGAAGGGATTCAAGGGCTTTGATTTTCCTACAGTGCTACAAGCAACCTAAGATCCCGGACTCGTATGCTCCTCGCCGTTGCTACATGAAGCCGACGGCGCGAGTAGAGTCTGGGACCACCTACAACATGTCCTATCTACCGGTCGAAGGCTGCCAGAACTTGCGAGGAGTAGCCAGAAAGCCGGCACCCAACCTGGTGCCTAGCTGCGAGCCTATGGAGTGCTGTACTGTTCAAAAGGTAGAATTGTTTTTGTTTTGTAATTATTTTATCGAAAACCTTTTTCTGATTGTTTATACAACGTAGGTAAAGGTGTTGTTTCAACAGAGATCGACTAAAGCGGGTGCGGGCCGTGCTGCCGGCCGGAAGCTTGGTGGTTTGACGTATGCCACGCTTGTGTGAGTGCACGTCAAAGTATACCCGCACCGACTAGCGGACCTCGTGCTGCTCGCCGCTTGTCGAATGCACCACGCAATTACCTGCGTCGTGAGGGTTTGTTGACAGCAAACCAACGCGGCGTTGGTCATTCATACAATGCATTTTTCTCCCCGTCATCGAAAAAAAATGGTAACGGTCTTATTTGGGAGGTTTTGGTTTGGTAAGGATGACCTAACCTATGTCCGAGGCCGATTCAGGTTTCGGCCAGGGATTGTAAGTAAGTAAATAAGTAGAATACGGACGAGGGAAAAAAGAGGTAGTTGAATATCAACAAGTTTGATAGTAAAATTTATACCCGTTTCTAATTTCGCACCTGGTGTATACGGCTGGGAACCTGTAGGCCTATTTACTAACTGCTTTTGGCAGATGGAAACGATCGTTCGCTCTTATTCGCTATGTTTAAATTACTGTTCTATGCTTGATTATTGTCCACCTTGAGGGAGAGGGAGTAGCGTACAATGAATCCGTGTATACTTGAACCATAATTTTATTAGCGCCATGTCGTTGCGCACGCCACACTGCATTATCAGCATGGGAACAAAATAGTAATCTGACCCCACATGATAATCACTGAGATATTAAGGATCAGATTCTTTGTTCAGAAAAGCATTGATTGATATGTAATTTTATCTTTATTTGCGCACTGTAAATATCAAAAATGTTAGCGAATAGGTCGGCAGGATATGTGATTGCTGAATGGAAGGAATCGAATATCTTCACTGTAATCCCCGTTGGCGAAGAGGGCGTCAAAGCCTTCGCATCTCCTTGTCACGACGTAGTCAACGTGGTACTATGTGGTATCGTGGCACGGTGCGTTGCCGCGTCATTCTAGTGCATGGCAACGTCACAATAGGACAGCGCGTCTGACATCATCGTAAGCTAACTTAGCAACGACGACAACATACAAGTAAGTGAAGAATTTCAAAAAGCACGGCTTCGTGTAACGTTTACGACATCGTACGAGGAGAGGCAGTTACTTCTTTCTCAGACAAGAGAAAGAGTTCGTTAAATATCAACAAGTCTTATCATTAAAGTCATTCCCGCTTTCTAAATTCGCAGCTTTCCTTTCTACCCAACCCGGTCTGCGCTACGCAACCGATCCGTCCGTGTCACCACGACATGTGGGGCCAGGGTCCCATGCAGAACATCACCACGCAAAGACACGACTACGTACCCAAGCCTTGCGTGCTGAGGGAGAGCTGCAAACCACCAGCCAAGTTTCACTGCGTCGAACAACCGTTTGAGAGTGAGGAGTTTTGTTTCCAAAAATTTTTAAAATAGTCTAATAATTATGTAACTGATAAATAATAGAAAGTAACCTGAAGATCGGCTTAGACAATCCTCATAAATAAATACCTAAACTGCTACTACAGTACCACGGTAATATTATCTATACAGTATCCTATCTTCATACAAACGGTCGGAAAGCGTGTCATACCTACGCCACTAGAGTTCGCGTTGCACCCGGTGGGCATCCAGTCGCGGCTGCGCCGCAGCGACGACAGAACGATGTGAATTATTTTTTAAGCAGTTAGCCGTGCTTAAACGTTTGTATTGTGAATTTTTGATTGAATTAAGTAAATACCTACATAATTTAATATGGCAATAAGCAATAGTCGATATTGTGCTGTTTTTGGTTGCTTGAACTCTTCAATAATTAAACTTTGTATACGAGTGCGTATTTATACTATTAAATTTAATAATAAAGCTTTTCGTACGTCTCTGTCGAGGCGTAAATATTTTTCTGTCTCAAATCTATATTTCTTTTTATTAAATATTACACTTAAAATAACATGTATTTTATGTAACACTTCCTAATTCATTCACAACATTTTTTTTAGATATGTAATAAAATATTACAGTCACAAAACTAGAAAGAAACTCAATTATGTAGATGAAATTAAAATACTCTAGGCGGGCAGCCCTACCGCGTGGATACGCCCCGCTCGGCCGTATGCAGTTATTTCAAGGACAGGGCCGAGTCACAATACTGTATAGATAATATTACCGTGACAGTACCTACATATGGTTGATATAGCACAAAGAATATCTACTACCTTCATATGGTAGCTATGCTCGTCACTACACACGCACACATTGACAGCTTCAGTACAATCTGACATTAGAGTCGCGCACACATTACGCGAAACATGTGCCGTTTTTCTTTGCGTGATATATTTGGATTGCTCTGTCTGCGTATAAGTAAATAATCAAAGACGTGTGTTGTTCGAGAATAAATTCAGCACGAAACTGTGAGAGAATCGGTAAAGTTAAGAATTTGGTTAGGAAATCGGAGTCCTTTCACACATGTGTTTCCTCTCAGATCGCACTATCAACAAGCTGTCTTACCTCCCCCCTGACAAGATGGTGCTCACAAAGTCGTATGCCCCTGAACGTTGTTACGAGAAACCAGCGGCCAGGATGGAGGGCACCACAACTCACAAGATGAGCTTTATGCCCAATCAGGTTTGTAACCTCAGAATACAGAACAAAAGGCAGATGGAACGCACGGAGACGCAAGTGATGCAAAAAGCAAATGCAAAGTCAAATACAAACTCGCGTCAGTAAGCTACAATGCATTTTGTGAATTCGGCCCGTGAATATTAAGATTTTATCAAAGCCGTAACATCTTGTCCAAACATTCAAAGAAAAAAGCTCCAATAATCTGAAAATCATAAACTTAACCTGAAGATTTGTTCATAGAAAAACAATCACCAATCCGCGCAGGGTCCGTTATCACCCACCAATCCGCGCTGGTACCGTTATCACCCACCAATCGGCACAGGGTCCGTTATCATCCACCAATCCGCCGTGGGTCCGTTACCACTCACCAATCCGTACTGGGTCCGTTACCACACACCAATCCGCGCTAGGTCCGTTAAAGTATTTACTTTTGACTTTGTATTTGCTTTGATGCCCGCACATGCGTGTTTCGTGCGTTCCATCTGCCTTTTGCTCTGTAATATGATGAATTTATAACTTTTTAATGGGTATTTTTCATGGACCAGTTTTTCGATAATATTTTCATTTTCCTCGCCGGGATTCGAACCCAGGACCTCTGAGTATGTGACACCTTGAAAACTGGTGTATGTACCACTTCACTACGGTGGTGATCTTAGTAGTAGCGAGATAATAGGTACCTAGATACGTAGTGTGGCAACATTGCTCCTCATCATGTCACTGCGCCCTGTTTTCGTCGTTTTTTAGCGCGAGTTAAAAGAAAGGATCTCACAACCCGTCAACTGTGTCGCCCACAAGGTCCTTCTAACCTCTTTCTGTGTTCAATGGACATAGCAATCTCGATAGGCGGTAGGTCCCGTTCGATTTCTAAGGTGTTTTACTAAATGTCAAATACTTTTCAAAGATAATGCCGAAAGAGCCGGTGCCGTGGGCTTGCAAGGGACAGTACCAGAAGCCGTGCCAGGCGCTGGATGTAAACACCACATACACTATGAGGTAACTTATTCAGTAAACACGTGCTACAGTTTAATAATAATATTCTTTATTGGCATACATTTCACAGGACACAAGATATTAAACATGACAGTGAAAACGCACACAATAAGCGGCTTTATTACTAAACAGCGATCTCTTCCAGGCACGGGTTGACAGTGAAATAAATAAATAAGAGGAACAAGAACAGGTTGTAACAGGAATAGTAAAAATAAATAATGAATAATAAATTCAATGATAGAAGATGAATATGGAGGAGCTCGATGGCGCAAGCGGTAACGCGTTCGGCTGCGATCGTTGAAGTTAAGCAACTTTCGCAGCGGTCGGTCATTGGATGGGTGACCAAAACATTTACTATCTCAAGCTCCTCCGTGCTTCTGAAGGCACGTTAAGCCGTTGGTCCCGACTGCATCTACAGTAATTAGCACCCACCAACGCACTGAGCCCGCGAGGTGGATCATGGCCCAAACTCCTTATTCTTATTCCATCCATAGTGAAGGCCTGAGCCCCAAGTGGGGACATTAATAGGCTGATGATGATGATGATGAATAAATTCAATAAACTTATCCAAAGAGAGACACAAGAAAGAGGTAAGATTTAAAATTGGGAAACGAAATAACCTCTAACTTAGAGTGCCAGCCTTTCGGATTGTTTCGAGAAGAGAGTTCTATAAGCGAACAGAATGCACAGAGAAAGATTATGAAAAGACACCAGTCGAATACGTCTGTTAAGCTAGCACGACAAAGTGAGCAGAATCGCTTAAAAAAAAAGTGCATCAATTAGTGCTAGTTTAGTGCTAATTTAGTGCCAAAACCTGAAATTTAATGCTCTCATAGTTTCGCGAAAAATTAGAACACTGCCAGCTTTTAATTAAGCTAGCAGTGTATTCCCTGAAACGCCTATATTAACGCAGTATAGAACTAAAGCAATGCATAGGGAATTTAGTGCTTAATGAGTGCTGGCAGTATCTGATAAAAAATTTCGAAAAAAAAAAATATTTTTTATGAATCAAAACTGCTAGTATGACAGGCTGAGCAAGTGACCGGGTTGAATACTTCACTCTGGATCGAAGATCTATGATCATCAACGGTTAATAATTTAGTGCTCAATGAGTGCTGGCAGTATGTGATAAAAAAATCGAAAAAAAAACAATATTTTTTTTGCAATAAAACTGCTAGTAGGGCAGTCTGAGCAAGTGACCGGGTTGAATACATCACTGAGGATCGAAGATCTATACTAAATCAACGGTTAATAATTTAGTGCTCAATGAGTGCTTCCAGTATGTGATAAAAAATTTGGAAATTTTTATTTTTTATTAATCAAAACTGAAGCGGCCGAGTTGAATACATCACTAGGCTGAATACAGGCTAGATTAGAAGCGGTCCGCCAAGTGCGTTCTGATTTTAGAAACAAGAAAAGAGAAACATTCTTTTAGATAGAACGGTTTACAGTTTCTACACAACAATTTGATGAATTCTTAACATCTTTGCTATTATTCTCCGGTTCTGGTAGAGATTGCCTAATGGCATTAAGTCTGCCACTTGCTCACTTATTTGTGCAATTAAGGTTAAATAAATAAATAACGGTGGCAACACACCATCAAGCCGCTTGATCAAGTAGCTGGATCAAATAGGCTTGATAAAGCCAAAATACTTCCGTCGAGTAACATGTCCTTCCAAAATGTCTGCCCACACACGGACAGTTTGCCTTTATCAAGCCTATTTGATCAAGCCTATTTGATTAAACGACAGGATGGTCAGTGACCACCATAACTATTATTTACATTCAGAGTTAACAAAATATATTTGCTTACATTCATATGCCAGCCAATCAATGACGAGCAATGTAGAGTTCCGTAGTTGTTCTCGTAAAAAATCTCAAATCGCAAACTTACCTTTTCTTATAGGTAGCATTTATAATTTCGATTTACTTTGATTTCGGTTTCAGTTTCCTTTATATTGAGTTTCATCTCAGTTTCCTAGATTATTGTTTTAATCTTCACTGAATTGCCACTATCGGATAACCTTTCCTTAATTTATGTTCCTTAATCTGAAACTGACACAACTCTCACTATCTCTAAAATATTTCTATATAATATGTTTTAGATATTACAATCCTAAAATAAAAATATAATTAAGTTAATCCTTTAATAATATTAATTAGCTCGGGCGCAGTCACAGTTGTGTCGCATGCTTGAGGCTGTTATCAAACTCCTGGTAGTATTCCTAGAATTTGTCATTTTAAGGGATAACCGTAAATATATATAATAAAATTAATTCGACCCATAGTTACTTAGACGCGAAGAGCGACTGTCGTCGTCGCGCCATCATACCGGACAGCTGCACCAACCCTGTAACAGCCTCCAAGAGATTCGAAACGCAAACCATATACAAGAACAGGTGAGATCTAATATATAAATAGAGGTGAGATCTCTGAGAATGAGATTTAAGCATGAATGGAGATAGATACAGCACTGCACGTAGCAGCTAACGACGTAACTAGTTTTACCAGATGCTGGCTTATTAATTGCCCTCCCCCCCTCCCCCCGGAAAAAAAGCATTAAATAAAATCTCCCCATCCTAGCACATTATCGGAAACCGGGACAATAAGGTCTTATTACTGGATACGGGACAAGACGCTAGTTATTCTCCCTTATCCCTCCATCACCTTTTCTTCATCAGAGGACCACACGCGCTGGCCTACGTTGCCACCGACTTACTGTGCCCACTATTCCTACACGAACAAAGAAATTTGGTTTTCCCCGGAATTCTTTACCCGCGCAAGTGTTCTATAATCCCTCCTTCCTATAATCTGGGGTCCTTTAAGAGAGGCGTGAAGAAGCATTTTTGCGTGCCGGCAAGGTGAGGATGGTTGGTGTAGCAGTTTTTATTTAGCTGTACCAGCTATCTTCGCGTTTGGACTTTATTACCACTTAACATCAGGTGAGGTAAAGTCATTGGCCTACCTCTATATAAAAAAGACGCCAAATTCCGGGACAATCCCGGATTTCCCGGCCATCTGGTAAGCCTAGTTGTAACCCAAAAAAGAATGGATGTAACTGCGAAAAACAAAGTGAAGCCGGTTAAAACAAGGTCTCGGCAGGTACGCATAGGTAGCGGCAAACTTCTTGAGCAAAACCACAAACAAGTGAACTTCGCACTAGACGTTTTCGTAAGTGAAATTGCTAATGCGTAGGCTTTCTTGTCTATGGTCTTAGCTTAAGAAATTTGCCTGGATGTATACACAAAAACACTAACACGTACAACGAAAGTACACCTTAAAATCTTATAATAAATTGCACGAGGCACCACCATACCTTGACTGACAAGGCAAGGCTTAGTTTCGTTGTACATCTCTGCTTTATGTACGTACAGAGCGAGACTTAGTTTTAACCACTTTGTTGTTGTTACACTGTCGGTGGTCGCAGTGCTGATAACATTGAGTCGAGGCGTGTCTCAATGAAGCTATAAATTAATTTGGCGTACTCTCAAGTTTAAAAAAGTACGGTTTGGAGTCTTTTTTTTATCGACTAATTTGTCAAAGTGCCACTCTTATCTAAATACAGTATACTCATGGTAATCCGGACCTAGATTCGATTCTGGGTCTAATTTAACTCCTCCTGTAATCCGACACGTCTATCACTGTTGATTGTACATATAATAATTAAAAAATATATTTGTTTATTTGTCATTTGAGTCAGTTGTCAGTCGTATTCAGAAAATTCAAACTTTGGTCTTTGCTCTATAACCCAAAACATTTTGATAATCCGACATCGACCGGCAAAACGTTTGTCGAATTAATGCTTGTCTACTGTATTAAATCTTATACACTTTTCTAGCTATTTACCAGCCAAAACTCCAATCCCTCTACCGGTAAAACCAGCACCCAATCTAGTGCCGTCCACAGCTCAAATGGAAGGAGATACAGTGCATAAGGTTATACTTGATGAAGTTCACAATATATGCCTTTTGAAATAATATACTCATTCTAAGTAAAAATAAATTACTGCTCAGTAGGGGAAAACCGGGAGACTTGCCCAAGTGGGAGAATTGAATAAACTTTCAAAAGTGTATTTAAACATAACGTCAATTCGTTCTTTGGTCACCTGCGAGATGCCAATCACAACAAAACAGTCTCGCAGGTGACCTATGAATGAATTGACGTTTTGTTTGCACTAAATATAAAAAAAGTCTAAAAGATAGGTCAATTCTCCCACCTGGGAAAATCTCACGGCTTTCCCCTTGATACTGGATACTTATTTCGGACACTTCGCCATAGCTATCATTCTTAGACAAGTACAAGTATTTACTATTTGGAAACTTGATGTCTTCGTTTCATTGCATATAATGCATGATCAAGATACTGTTGTCAAGATTACAAATAGCAAATACAAATAACCACCACAAAAACTTATCCAAATGACCAACTGAATACACGTTTTGAGGCTAGCAGAAAAGCAACCAAAACTATACTTCTATTAAACTTTTTTTAGCCAAATGGATAACAAACCATAGTTTTTCAATAGGTCGAATTTTATACACATAAAAAAATATAATTATAAAGAATTCACATTACAAGCGATCTAAAACCTGTATCTATTCCTTACCTATTCCCAATCTTTGAACGTATTATAATACTAAATAAAACTAGTTTTTACGGGTTAATGCACGAAACTTTATTTATTTATTGACGTTTCGCAGCCTTTTCAGGTCTGCATCAAACGTCAATAAATAAATAAAGTTTCGTGCATTAACCCGTAAAAACTAGTTTTATTTAATGAGTGATGTGCGTGAAAACTTAAGAAACAAATATTATAATACTACTAAATTAAAGAGTACTGATTAATAAAGCAAATAATTTACGTTAAATTAATAAGTTTTGTTATCAGTCTGGTTACACCGACCATCTTTACTCTCGATAAAAGAATTTTGGAAACATTGGTTTATTTGTTTACAACACATTTGCTCATAAAATGCAATTACGGAGGTTGTATATATTGTTCGAAAGTTCAAAATTACAGGCCATACAACGGAGCGTGCGGTAAAACATTTTACCGCACGGTCCCAAACATGGCGCCGTGCGTATCCTTCACACGGTTTTTTTAAACGTTCAAACATCCTTAGAGGCCCTATTAATCTATACCTTTGTCTCACTTTATACTAAAAAAGAGACGCAGGGTGTAGTTCAAATTTTCATCAATCGCGTGTGGCGCCATTGAAAATGCGCGTCATTTCTTATTACAAAAAATATGCTTTATTACTTAAATCAGGTATTTATAGATACTGTTTTCACGCAAATGTGTTGAAAAACGTTATATGCCATTCGTGTCAAGTTGGTATTTAGAAACGATTGGAATTTGTATTTAGATGAGTATAATCCATCTTACCGCACAAATATCATAACTAACTATTTACCTATTTTTATACCTTGTGTTTCAGAGGAAGTTAAATATACTACAGTTGTTTCTACTTTTACAGCTATCTTTCCTCCCTAACCCGGTTTGCGTGACGCAAGCAATACGTCCGTGTCACCACGACATGTGGGGCCAGGGACCCATGCAGAACATCACCACCCAAAGACACGACTACGTACCAAAACCGGTCGTGCCCACGGAGAGCTGCAAACCACCCGCTAAATTCCACTGCGTCGAACAACCATTCGAGAGTAAGCGATTCATATGGGGCCATTCATTTATTACGAAAGACGATTTAGGGGGGGAGGGGATGGGAGGGAGTCTCGATAATTGTTACGTAAGATCACAAAAATGCGCAAAGTTAAAATTATGCTTTGAAAAAGCGCGGGCAACCGCGCGAGTGCCGACGAGAATGCTTAGAGGTAAGCGCTTTCCATTTCCATGGCGACGGACCCGCGCCACTCTTTACTGTGGTAAAAGGTAAAAATGATTGATTAAAACCAAAGTTTATTACTATTTAAACATTTCCAAAAATTGTTACTTTGAAAACTAAACCAAAAACTTAAAGGATTTCCTCATTTTAGGGGTTAAAAAATAGTGGAAATAGTCTTACGTTATAAATGAATGGTCCATATCTAAAACCCTCATAAAACTCGGGATTCTTTAAACGAGGTGTAAAGAAGCACATTGTAGGCCGGCAAGGTGAGGATTGCTGGCGTGACCTACTTGGACCTACTGCATAGCTGTTTTTGCACCTGGACTCCCGTCACTTTGCATCATTCGCTAACTGCTTTTGATAGATGAAAGTCATAATCAACGAGTTATTTAGTAATCTAGCACTTATTAAAAAGCTACTAAGATACTTAAATGTAAAGAAATTTTACTAGAATAAATTCCACGCGGTCCAGGAAGCAGACGGGACTCGAACCCGCACCCTCCGCTATCCGGGCGGATACACTGACGATTATGCTACCGCGGCCCTTATTGTCCATGTCGAATTTTCTTCTCTAGCCTTTCTTAGGCTGTAAGGCAGCGCCATCTCTTTGCATTGTAGGTAACCCACAATGTCAAATGAACACCTTAACACGTATTATTCATTTAGCTACGGTGGCCGCTTGCCGGGCCGGCCATATGGTTGTTTCCCCGCCCTTTTTAAAATATAAAAGTGTATGAGAATAAGGGATTTCTATTTGTTTCTTAGGTTTTCACGCACATCACTAGCCTGTAAAGGCTACGAAACGTCAATAAATAAATAAAGTTTCGTGCATTAACCCGTAAAAACTAGTTTTATTTAAGGGATTTCTATCTTAATTTCATTGTGTCCAACAAACAACCATTTGAGATTGAGCGAAACTCCAGCACAATCTAAAAGTTCAGACTAGGTAGACTCCTTTAATTACTTTACTACGAACTAAGTGGTTTAATTAGTGTTAGGGTTTCATTACTAAGGGTAGGTACAAATTCGTACAACTGTTAACAAAATAGATTTTCCATTGTATTCACCGTGAATGGATATACCCAGGGCCTATATAAAGGTGTTGAGACGCTGGACCAAATTAGAAGTGGGAGCCCACTATTTTAAAATCCGGCACCATGGTTGGTGATCTGTTGAAATATATATATATATTTTAAGCAACACTTCTTTTCGGACAGAGTATAAATTGAAAAATCCTATGGAAAAGATGAAACTGAAATGCATCATACGACTATTTAATAGACTTGCAACGAATAGTATATTCGGCAGTATACCGAATACCGAATATTCGGCGAGGCCCCTCACCGAATAGCCGAATATTAGGCAAAAGTATTCGGCTGGATTTTAGCGCCGAAAACTTGTACAGACGTGATTGTTTCGCTCTCCTTTGCTTTATTCTAATCTGCCGTCCTCAAGCTAAAATGCGGCTAAATGACAAAACCAACTATTGAGATATGGCCAAAAACGGCGCGGCGCGTAAACTTTAAATTATTGCTATTATGTTTATTATGCCATTCATCACATGACTGAATGAATTAAAAACTGTTAACTTGTTTAATACAGAAAATGATTAAATTATGTACCTGTTTTATGTACCAATGACTACTTAATAAATGATTATAAAAGAAATGAGAAGCTTACCCTTCTAAATTTTGATTACCACAATAATTCAAATATATAGAATCCTCCATTTTTCCAATTCAGAAGATAATTATGCACCTGTGTTACGTACCAATGACAACTTAAATGTATATGACAGAAATGAATATATGAATATATACGTAACCAATCGATTTTAATTTTTCATTTTACCAATTATTTCTCTATGACACACATTTTTTTTTCACTGTTGTTATGTCCCCTCGACCACAGCCTCGCCTGCCCTGCCTTAAATCTGGCCAAGCCAAGGGTCACAGGAAATCAACTGGGTGAACTTGACTTTACAAAGATTTCCTTTGTATTCCAGATCGTACAGTGAACCGCATGTCGTACCTGAACCCCGGCAGAATACCACCGCCTGAGTCGTATGCGCCCGCCAAGTGTTACGAAAAACCTTCAGGTGAGAAGTTCTTCTTTCAGGGTTCATGTTTTACCTACTGTTGAACCGACAGTTTGCATGTAGGTATCTTGACGACCAAGTAGCTGCGACTGCAACGATCTTGATTGCAGCTCCGAAGATCCGGAACGTTGGAATCTGAGCACTTATTTGGTATAGCTAAACCACAGACAAATAAACTTGCGTGGTAGATGTTTTGTTAGCAAAATTGCTACTGAGCTATGTTCCTTGTCTATGGTCCTTGCTCAAGATCTTTGCCAGAGTGGTATGATACAATCACGATGTAATGCTAGCGCTTCACATGTTGGTGTTGGCTATTTGTCATTTTGACACCAGGATGTCCTTATCATGATCAACACCTGTCATTAAATAGCAAAGGATGTCCTTCCTTATCATGCTCTATCACACTAATATTATAAAGGCGAAAGTGAGTGTGTGTTTGTTACTTCTTCACGTCTAAGCGGCTGGAGCTGGAGAGATTTTAATCAAATTTGGTATACATATAGCTGACACTCTGGATTAATACATAGGCTACGTTTTACTGTTGGAAAATATCCCTAATAAACCGCGGGTAACAGCTAGTAAAGAATAAAAAGGAGAGACTGCTGTCAACAAATAGCAAATACGAATGGCCATCTGAAGTGCAAGCATCCATAGAAATATTGTTAATACGACAGTCTGTTTGTCTGTAACCTCTTCACGCTTAAACCGCTGAACCAATTTAAATGTTATTTGGTATAAAGATAGTTTGAGCCCTGGGGAAGGCCAAAGGATAGTTTTATTCCAAAAATCTTTCTTTAAAGGGGTGCAAATGGAGAGGGAAGTTTGTATGGGTAACCAAATTTTCTACGCAGACAGACAAAGTCGCGGGCTTCCACTGGTATATCTAATAGTGCCGACCTTGACCTTCATAGAAACTTTGACGATGAGATACGATTACAGAGCTTTCAAAGTTCGTTTTTGAGCATCAGGTCTCTTAATATTTTGCTGCAATATTTTTTTTCTGGTGTGTGTGTGTGAGTGTGGTGGTGGAGCTCGATGGCGTAGGTGGCTAGCGTGTTCAGCAGCACTCGTTGATTTTAAGCAACTTTCACAATGGTCGGTCATTGGATGGGTGACCAAAAATCTTCTATCTCGAGTTCCTCCGTGCTTCGGAAAGCACGTTAAGCCGTTGGTCCTTGCTGCTTCTGCAGTCGTTAGCACCCGCCAGTCCACACCGGCCCGCGTGGCCGCGCGGGGTCATGGCCTAATCTCCGTATTCCATCCATAGTGAAGGTCTGTGTCCCAGCAGTGGGGACATTAATAGGTGATGATGATGATGAATTTTTTTCTATATTTTTATAGCAAAAATGGAATGCGAGACCACACAAAAGATGTCTTATCAGCCTGTGTGCGTACCATCACCGCAGCGACCGCCGTGGGCCTGCAAGGGACAATATCAGAAGCCCTGCCAAAGAGTGAGATAAGCTATTCATTATTATACATTTGAATTCCAAAATTGCTTATTACAGGCAACAAAATGACCCATTAAATCGTTAGTAGCAATAATTAACTTAAATGCTATGTAAGGGTGTATTGTTTTTAGGATTCAATAAAGTGTGTCATTTAAATATTGAAATTGTATTATAAATAAAATAATATGTAATCTAAACCAAATGTCAAACCAAAGTTAATTTAAATAATTTATTAATATTCTACATTTAAAGTCGTATATATAAAATGTGTAACGTAGGTAATTTAATGTAAATATCTACTTCAATGTCAAAGTAAAGCTCACCTTTATAATGTTGCCAAATCAACAAGACCTGATAGTAAAAAACTGATTAACTGATTTAGAAAATATTGCTATGAATCTTACCAAATCCACAAGACCCCCTGATAGTAAAAAACCTGATTAACTGATTTAGAAAATATTGCTATGAATCTAACCAAATCCACAAGACCACCTGATGGTAAAAAACCTGATTAACTGATTTAGAAAATATTGCTATGAATCTTACCAAATCCACAAGACCCCTTGATAGTAAAAAACCTGATTAACTGATTTAGAAAATATTGCTATGAATCTTACCAAATCCACAAGACCCCCTGATAGTGAAAAGAACCTGATTAACTGCTTTAGAAGACATTGCTATGAATCTGTAGAGATCTAATGAAGTAATCGTGGTAGTTTCAAGGGTATAGCGGTTGTCCTGTTCGAATTCTTTAAAACGCAAATATGAAAAATTAAAAATTCATAAATATAATATTCATTTTTCATAAGATAAAATTCATTTTTCATATTTGTGTTTTAACATATTTAGTAATGGTTTTTTTTATAGTTACACATCTAATATATAAATAAGTTTATAGAGCAACTATCCAGAATTGATTTGAGACATAAACGAAGCCTTGATGTAAAGTAGAACTCGAATAATAATCCTCATCCCTAATTCCGGAATCTCGGGTTTTTATTTTTAATTAAAATATTTTTAAAACCCACTCATAATTTGTTAGCCCTAAATAATTTTATCGTATAGTTAATGTGCAGGCGGCACTTGTATATTGTTTTTGACATTCTTGTCTAAATTAAAAGTGCCCGCCGCCCGCACCTCTCACGGTCCCCATTCTCTTCCTCCCCCGCACCCTGTACCCCGCAGGCGAGGTCTCAGTTAAGCGGTCTACCTATAATTATGCATCCGATTATCCGATCTCTATCCATCAGTCTCATGAAATTATTAGCAAGTTTAACCTCTCCTAACCCCTTGGTGGGGATATATATCGAAATTTCTTCTACCCCCTCCCGCCACCCTTCTCTTTCGAATCTCTCATGATTAACGGACGGCTCCACGGGCCTGCATTTCCTCACCACATCAGCTATGTATAAAATCAAATCCACATAACATGCTTACAATGTAATTAGTAATTGTTATTTTGCTTATTCAGTTGGAGAGCACAACGATATACAAATCGTCGTTCCTACCTCCAGGCGAGGACTGCACTCAGTACATGGACCCCTGCGCTTATGGAGACTGCAAGCGTGAGTCACTAGAAAAGATATATCTACCTTTATTAAATTATAAGTTATTCTTTACTAGCTATGCCCCGCGGTGTTACCCGCGGGATATTTTCCCATAGTATAGCGTAGCCTATGTGTTAATTAAGGGTGTCAGCTAACTTTTATTAAAATCGCTCCAGCCGTTTAGACGTGAAGAAGTAACAAACATACACACTCACCAACATTCGCCTTTATAATAGTAGTGTGATTTAAAGCTCCTTTAAATCGTCCAATATTTTATCTTACCACCCATTCAGGACATCTTTTAGCTGATAAGGAAACTCGGCGCAAGAAACTCTTTAGCAACAGAAGTAGTATATTTTGTAGTTTTTAGGGTTCCGTAGTATCTCAAAAGGAAAAACAGGCCAGGTTGTTGTCCGCCTTTCTGTCTATAAGGATCCTTTATCTTAAAATTAAAAACCATTTACTCAAATCCACGGCCACTTGAAGAAAATCAAACTTATCTTCCTTCCCTAGGGATGAAATAGACACTAATATTATAATATCAAGCAATAAACGGCAAAAATAATCATGCCTGTGGTAAGGGAGCCTCCACTTAAATATTTATTTTAATTTAATTATTTATTTTTAAAGTAACTATACCTATGACTAAAACTAAAGTTTATAATACAGAGCAAAAATGACAACGTCAACAAAAAATATCATTTTTTTTTTGTATGGGAATATTTATTTTATTCTGTTTTTAGTATTTGTTGTCATAGCGGCGACAAATACATCATCTGTGAAACTGTCTAGCTATAACGATTCATTGATTCAGCCTGGTGACACACATACAGACGGACAGTGGAATTTCATTAATAAGGTCCCGGTTTTGCCCTTTAAGTAAAAAAGATACGACCGTTAATGTTGCGTAGCTACTGTACTGTATTAATGTGTTTTTTTTTTAATATGTTTTCTCTTTTCCAGCTTGCAATTGCATATGCCCAGCGGAGTGCATAGCGACAGATCCTTGCGCTTGTAATTTCCCAAAAGCAGCGTGCTGTAGCTAACGAAACGCCGCCCGGCCATTTTATATCTCCTCGAAATTTTCAAGATGGCGTCACACCACGTTTGTGTATATAAATTAATTCCACAATTTTCTGTGATATTCGTACTTTAGGCCAGTAAATTGTTATATATTTTATATAATCTACTCTTAATGTAAAGATAAATTATTTTATGTAGACTTAAATATGGGCGTAATATTGGTGTATTAATTTAAGAATCCTTATGTTTATCGAGGGTAGTTTGAAATAGTTGCGATGCCTACGCCCAAAATATACCTTACTAAAGGGGTTAAGAACTTGTATTGCTTTGATAATGACAGATAAATTATGATTTGTATTGTTTATTTGTATTAATAAATTTATAATTCTTATCACCTTTTTTCATTCGTCACTTGATAAATAATACCCACTTAATAAAACTAGAAAAGATTTTTCGACAGGATAGAGCATTTTCCATGAAGCGTTCGGACTAGGTTTGAATAATAAATAATAATAATAAATCGTTTATTTCTCGTCACAAACATTTTGGCATAGACAACAATTTTAAAATAACTAATTACATTTTTATAGGCATATGGATGGATAGACATTTAACAATCGTAGTATGAATACCATTGCATACCTGATGTCTATGAGGTCGGTGTCTGAACTAAGCCGAGCGTGTATAGAATCCAATCATATTAATTATTATGCTGACGCCTGGTGTTAGACTAGTATGTTTTTTAATGGTACTAGTAGGATTAATGTGTCATTCATTTGTACCATCAGTGGTGGTTCATGGACGAAGAACCGCTAGAGTGATGAGGGGCCGAGACTCGGCCGCCAGTGAAACGGGTTAGGTTGGCAAGTCTTTTGGGGGGTTAGGTTACACTAACCTAGCCTAACCTACTCCCCTACTACTACTACGGAGTGCAGACGCGAAAGAGCGCGTCAGCAATACCTACATACATAACTAACTACCTACGTACATTGGGGACGGTGGAGAGGTCAACGCACACACACACTGAGTCACGTGACCTACATACCTACCTACCTACCGACCTACACAGGCACTGGGTATTCCAACAAGATTCGGCGCCAGCTCATAGAGCGAAGAGCACACAAGACTGGCTGGCGGCGCGTGAAATCGACTTCATCCGGCACGAAGACTGGCCCTCCTCCAGTCCAGATTTGAGTCCGTTAGATTACAAGAAATGGCAACACTTGGAGGAAAAGGCGTGCTCAAAGCCTCATCCCAATTTGGAGTCACTCAAGACATCCTTGATTAAGGCAGCCGCCGATATTGACATGGACCTCGTTCGTGCTGCGATAGACGACTGGCCGCGCAGATTGAAGGCCTGTATTCAAAATCACGGAGGTCATTTTGAATAAACTTTATTGTCATAAGAATCTATGTTTTGTTATGTTCACTTTGGTATATAAATGGTTACTTAATGAATAAACTTGTTTCAATTATTTTATATTAAACATGTGACAGAATTTATGACCTGACTAGGTACATATTCATATCGTAACACAATACATCGATGATGGAAATAGTTCTAGAAAATGATATAAACAATATATTTATGTAATTAAACAATAGAAATCATCTATCATAATTATATAACAGTTGGTATTTACTCATTTTTCATAATAAAATATATAAACAAGTAAGTACACATTTATATATTATACTTATTATTATTGACTTCTGATTCGTATTGGGAGTTTGCACTGATTAACGCTGATATTTTATTCGATTACAATTTAATTTTTACGAAATCCATGTTTCCAAAAATATTATCTATAAGTACTACATTTAAACAAATTTCCTGACTCAAAAATGAAAAAAAAATACATCAAACATTCATAGATTTCTAATTGCAAATTTTAATGTTACAAAAAGATTTTTTAATACAGCCTACATAACTTATCTTTTCCATTTCACTCCCTCAAAATATTTTTCAATCCACATAATCGCTAATCTTTAAACTCCATAAATATCTTTGAATATAATCATTCTTTATATATAACATAACACACGCCTACCTATTTAAAATCCCTTTGCTCTTATCTATCTTTGCCAAGTAATATAATTCCTGCCTATTTTAGTTTCGCATAATTAGCAGACTTAAGTTACAGCTTCGCTAAACCACAGCTTGCATAAATGCATGTACATCATTCCTTTACTGATACAGAAATGCAATACGTAATTCTATCTACCTTTGCCTTGTTCGTAACGTTATTCAAAACAATCACTACAATGTGTCACTAAGTGTCTTATATCTGAAACTAACAATTTAGAATTAAGCACCGTGATAACTTTTATCAATCTCAAGATAAATATATCACTCAAACAATCACGTATTAATAAAAGGCTTGACAAAGATTAAACTTTGAATTTAAATTTACGTTAAAATATAACGACAAAATTACAAATTTTATTCTCGACTTTAAACTCATCTTTCTATTAAAAATAATATCCAATCTATCTTTGTCGATCTATCTATGATTATAAAAATCAATAAAACTTCAAATAATAAATTAACAGAGCAAACTATGTACAAAACTTTTGACTCTAATTCACAATAATACTTGAAAATAATTAGTTTTACCATTATAAATTTTGCATTATAACCTGTAGTGCAATTCTGTAAAAACCACAAACTCATCTCACTGTGTGAGTCGGATCCGTATTTGAATCTCTGTAGGTTTCGCTTCACGGAATTTTCGCATTCTGTAACCAATTGTACAAGCAAGTGAAGCGAGATGTCATTCATATCCTAAGTGATTTGTAGTGTTACCATTTTAAAAGTTTTTGGTAAATCGAGATAAATCGACTTAGTTATTATGCGTGAAAAAAAGCACGTTAATTTATTCTTTAGATATATTTGTAGATATGAGGCTCAAGTCTAAAGTTTTAATGAATGTAAACCTAAAATAGTTTTATTTTTAAAGTTTGGTAACTTGGCCGAATGAAGGCTTACTCTATGCGCATCTCTGTAATCGAGTGAGAATCGACGCTAGCGCTACTAAGTGAGAGTGGCGGTTTAGTAAACTATCACAGGTGAGACCGTAACCTACCTAAATGGCTTTGCCGTTTCAATGGCATTCTGTAACGAATTTCAGCGCTTGTTTACACCTCACATTAAAAACCGCACTCGAAAGTAACTGTCAAAATAAAAGTTACTTATTAGTTGCGGTAATAGAAGTGATTGTGTGAAGTGAGTATTTTTGGAGACTATTGTCATCATAAAACAAGAGTAATTATTAAATTATTTATAATTACGTTGCTTTTGTTTATTTAAGAAATAATTCTTTAAAATTATGTCTACCTATAATTTGAGATGACTCACTCTATTACTTGCTTTTTACTATAGAAAGCCCATGCATGATGTAGATTTGGCCAGAAGCCGCCTACAAGCCCAATTTCTGTGTAACCTTGAATAATTTCATGTGAAGATGAATTATTTGTGGCGATTTTCCACCGCACAAACGTTGGTCCATGTCGCAATACAGCCAGTGTCTGGACATTTCGCTCGCAGGCACTGGCACATTAGAAAATAAGTTCTTAATTCTTTTTTTGTTTATGTTCTTTTTATATATTTTCGGATTGATTTATAAGTGTCATTGTAAAAAGAGAATAAGAGAAAATTTGATTCGTACATATTGTATTTTGTAGTTGTGAATATTTCCGAATATAGTGCTCCAAGTTGACCAAGTATTGCCGTTTTATTATTCCGCTAGTGGGGAGCAGCGGTTAAACATCCCCAAATAAAATGCTGTTCCAAGTATGTATCATATTATGTTGATCTTTATAAATTAAACAATTTATTTTTAGAGCATCACGTCTTTTAATTCACACTTATTACCATAGATTAACTCACATAGATTATATAACTCTACTAAAGAAACAATAATGACACAGATTATATTCAATAATGTCACATCTTCCTTTTTTATAATAAAACAAGTTTACAAATTACACTGTACTATGAATCATAATCATAACTTACATATTAATTTGATGCACTTATTTTATGTACTAGGTCTACTTTACATAAATTGTAAAGAATAATTTATTTAAGATTAAATAAAAATTAAATCCCAAGTCTTTAGGACTTAATAAAAATTAAATCCTAAAGTAAACTATTTTTTATTAACAATGTTCGTATGTATGACTAGAATCAGCTAAATAAGCAGGAAGTTTTATGACTCTGCTGGACATTTTGGGATGAATAGTATCCTCATGATTATTGCTATTTAAATTGTAATCATTATTTTCGTTGACAGGATTGTATATTATGTTATTTATTTGCTCCTTCTTAACTTCAATATTATTGGTATTTTCATCTGGAAACACTAAATCGTAATTGTTTTTTTATTTATTTATATATTCTGTACACACAAAAATAATATGGGAGCAGCTTAATTAAAGATAACATGTACAAGGGCACCACTTATTTCAATCTGAAATTTCTTACAGTAGGCCCCGTAGGAGGAAAGAAAATAGGTAAAGGTAGTCAGCGTGTACACCGGAATATAAATACATGTTAATACCAATAAATATGGGGTTTACAAATACATATAGGTTTATATATACAAGTACTTAAATAATAAATAAATACATACACATACGAATATAAAATTGAAATACATACATACATATAATATGGACGACGAGAAGAGAAACAATGAGAAGATCAAGGGCAGAATTAAGGGCAAGAAGATAAATAGTGTTCCTTCAGATGTTTTTTGAACACTGAGACAGAACTAGAGTGTCTAATTTCTGCTGGCAGCGAATTCCACAGACGGACGGCATGTACTGAGAAGGAATAGGATGCGAAACTAGTGTTATGGGTGGGTCATTTCAGAAGGGATTTGAGGTGGGATCTGCAAGGATTTGTTGAAGGGTGAATGAAGGAAAACCGTTCACGGAGGTAAGGTGGATATTGTGGATTATAGAGGATGTTGAAAAGGAGACAAAGGATTCTAACATTCCTGCGCAGACGAATGGGAAGCCACTTGAGTTCCTTACGAAAACTAGAAACATGGTCATACTTACGTAGACCAAAAATGAAGCGGATAGCGAGGTTCTGCAGGCGCTCAAGTTTGTTCAGTAAGGTCTCTGTGGCATCTAAGAAGCAAGCATCGGCATAATCGAGAAGCGGCAAAATGAGTGATTGAGCGAGTGAAATTTTGGAATACAATGGCAAAAAATATTGAAGGCATTTAAGGGAATGGATCGTGTAGTAAATTTTCTGGCTGACGTTAGCGACATGGGCCGTCCAGGACAAATTGGAGTCCATTGTGACACCAAGATTTTTAATATTGTCACTGTATGGAATGTCGATTCCATCAAATGACAATGATGGCAAGTGAGGAATAT